TTTGGCATTTATATGGAAATCAATTCATTATCTCAAAACACAACCCAACATGTTAAAATAAGTTAAAGATATTTACAGTTTCACTTTTTAGAATATCAACGTACTACCTTGGATAATTCTCTAGTTCAATGTAAGCCATTGACTAGAGTAATAACCTAATTGTTTATTTCAATACGTGCGTTTTCTTTTAAATATTAAGTTAAAACATTAAAACATACTTTTTAGAATTTTCGTGAAATTCTTTATATTTTCAAATAATATACCAATTATTACAACTTTTCAGGAATATTAGTAATGTAGGGCGCCATAGTAAATTCTCTTTAGTTTAAATTGAATAACTAAAATATTTCCTGTAAGTCAGGAGAATTACAAAGACTGACTAAATATAACGATTTGAAATATTTAACTTTGATTTTCGATAAAAAGAATAAGTAAAGAGAATCTAGTGTAACCAGAATAAATTAGTAATAAAAGCATGTCTTTTAATTTAGGTTAACGTGTAATCAAATTAATATTCGTTGCAACTTTTACAAGTTTAATTCACTTCTTAATATTCCGAAACGAAGATAAATTGTAATAAAGAAAAGACAATAAATGTGTAAAACCAGAGTAAATTAATAGGAAAAATAGTATTTAAATTTAGATTAACATATAATTAAACTAATATTTGTTTCATCCTCTTAATATTAGGAAACGAAGATAAATCGTAATAAAAATAATAATAAATGTAGCTAATATCCATATATCCATTCATATATTACAAAGCGAACTTTTGTTTGTTTTTCACTTATCTGATTAGATTCGGTTGAATCTCATTCCAACGACGAGGAACTGATGAACCACGAGCGGCCGTACTTCATAAACTTGTCTAATTCTTCCAAGGCCAGGATTTTGGTTAAACAATCTCCAAAATAACTGCTTAATACACCAATCGGTGTAAAATACCCTGTAACTTTTTTATAAACAAAAAATGCAAAACTACCAAATACGTCTCGTGATTAGGATGAAAGTTTTAGAATTACTATTACAACAGGTGCAGAGTTAAAATTTTACATTGTATTCTTTCACACCCTATACAACATTGAAAAATGATTTTTTTGTACCGCACGGACTTAAACTTAGAAATTCACACGATAATTATGTGAAAAGAAACACTCAATATTATTTCATAACGTTATTCATAAAGTTTTAAAAAAAAAAAGAAAAATTAAAAAACTAACCTGTTGGAGGTTTTAACCTGAGTCCTCTGCTTACAAGAAAGGCGTTCTGCCGTTGCGCCACACTGACATGCTAAGATTATTGCAGAATTTTACTAAAAAAATGGAAGTGAAAAAGTGAAAACCTTTATATCACATACAAAATAAAATGTATTTAAAATAAATATAAACAGTAATACAGTAATATTTTTTTTCTTCAAGCGTATAATAATGTTTACATTATATCAAGGTACACGTGTTGTAGAAGTAGCCTATTTTTATACTAGTACAAATATTTTTCATTTTTGTACTATATAGTATAAAAAAGCACAAACCTAATGTTAAATGGCTTATTATGAACGTTGCAATCAAGTAGGCTGGAACTGTCATTTGAATACTTATTTAATTTGACGTTTGTCAGTGTATGATTTAGAATATAAGAAAATAGTGTTAACCCGTTCGTTATACCTGTGTTTTTCAAGTAAAAAGAAAATGTCAGAAGAAATGCAATCAACACTTTCCGAATTGCTAGAAATAGCGAAATATTCGATAGAAACCTAAATACCTACGAAATCGAAGAAAGTTTACGATTATGATTACACAAAATTTGTGAAATGGTGTGAAGAAAATCACGTACATTTTTATTCAGAAAATGTTCTGATCGCATATTTTACTAATTTGTCTGAAAAATTCAAAAGTTCAACAATTTGGTCGCAGTATTCAATGCTGAAATCAGAACTAAATATTAAACATAATGTAAAAATTGAAAACTATTCAAAATTAATTGCCTTCTTAAAACGAAAAGGTGATAATTACAAACCGAAGAAGTCAAAAGTTTTTTCTAAACAGGAGTTTGATAACTTTCTTAAGAATGCACCAAACAAGAGATATTTAGCAACTAAGGTAGGTACATAATTTTTTTAAACTGTTATTTAGTTTTACATATGTATATTCTATTAATTTCAGCTTTTTTATTTTAATTTTTTTTTATCCATACTTTTATTAAATGCTTGAAGAAAAAACAGTATATGTCACTCGGATTAGAAGGCCCATTATATGTTTCGCCCAGTTTGCACAGCTTCGGCTAACGCCTCAGCTGTGCAAAATTCTGGGCTCAACATATAATGTTGGCCTTCTACTCCTAGTAACATAATATACTATTCATTTTCCATATTTAAAAAAAAAAAAAATAGAAAAACTTAAACTGTATTGTCTTGTTATATTACCTCCCGAATAAAGTAGTTTGCTATGGTTTCTATTGGTTTTGATATTTGCGGGACTAAAATTTTTTAATCCCTTCGAATTAAAATATTTTAATCCCAAGGGAGTAAAAGTGGCACTTCAGTCCCTAAAATTAGGGAGTAAAATGCATGTTTTAGTCCCGGAGGTACAAAAAATAGCACATGTACTACGAGACTAAAGTGCGTTTTAATCCCTCGAGTGATTAAAAGTGTCACTTAGTCCCTTGGTATATAATATCCTATTTACTGTAAACCACATCAAGCCATTACTACAAGAAGTAATGAATTTTCAAAATAGTTAAGGCGTTTTCGAGATACAGTCTCCTACAAATGACGATAAAATTAACTGTACCAACTAATTTAGTGAGCAGTTTATATATTTACGAAGCGATTAATTTAGAACTCTTTCATTCTAAATTATTTCTAATTTTTACAGCTGCATTTCCCAAACGAAAAAAATAATAAAAGCAATTTAAATAATAAAATATTAAGTATAAATACTTCGCTATTACTGTCTGTATTGCCATTGCTCATATACATGGTGTTTCATGTGTATTGTAATTTTTGAATACATCTCTATTTAGATGAAGGTATAGCCGATTTGACGTTCCAAAATCATTATTTTCTTTTTTTTTTTCGAAGTACGGATCTGTTCCTTGATGAAGCAAGCATCCACACTGGTAAAATAAATATCCAATAATTCAATATTATTAAAATGGCAGACTACTTTGCAAGAGTAGAATATAAATAATAAAATATATTGGATGAAACTTTATTTGATGTTAAACTTGTTTAACTGACAAGTACAATATTTTTATCAAGTTATTACTTTAAATATATAGTATACAGGGTATATAAGCTATGTATGTATTTAAATATGAATCCTGTATAGGGTGATTCATTAAGGGTGGCGACCGGCCGTATCTTAGAATATCTTGAAGTAGATTTTTTTGAAAGTAACGCAAAAACAGGTCGATTTTTATTTCAAAGGGGACACCTTTCTGTAATATCGTTCACTGTAATATGTCATTCCTCTCCCCTACGTCAATCTAACCAATACAATTTAAATAGGGATAGACACATCGACGGAAAGGTAATTTTAATGCGGAATTCAGCAATATGATCGTTCCATGCGTTCGTTTTAATTTTAGCGCCCTCTAGCGGGATAAATAATTATTACCTATGGTAAAGTGTGAAACTTCATTTGAAAGCTTATTTTATTAGTAATTTAATACACTACGTAATATTAAGTTTACTAAATCAAAAATGAACATAAAAGGAAAAAAGAATGCATTATTACTAAATTTATTTTGTTGCAAGTGCAATATGGGGATATCTAGGTTAATGTTATGTGGTGCATTGGATTACTAATAAAATTAGCTTTCAAATGAAGTGTCACACTTTACCATATGTATTATCCCGCTGGAGGGCGCTAAAATTAAAAGAACGCAATGAAATATTGCTGAATTCCTAATAAAATTACCTTTCCGTCGATGAATCATACTTGGCACTTTTCCTATTTAAATTTTATTGGTTAGATTGACGTAGGGGAGAGGAATTACATATGACAGTTGAGTTTCGTTTCTTTAAAAATAATTACTTCAAGATATTCTGAGATACGACCGGTCGCCACCCTTAATGAATCACCCTGTATAGCAGATACATTTTCTATACAAATTGCATCGTTCTCTTCTGTATTTATAAAGATTTTGCCAACATTTTTGATTTTGGCTAGGTTAATCATTTGCAATAAAATGTCTTAATACAGTGTGTCTATTTAAGTCGGCACCATACGGGCAACTTGTTTATTATTAGTTTTATGGAAAAAAGTTATTATTCATAAAATGTTCTGCATGGTCTAAAACCTAAAAAAATAGGATTTTTGATTAATTATTGCTATTAAAGATATCGCTTTGTTTTACATCATCACCATATAATGTGGCTTCTTTTCCTGCCTCTGTTACTTAGGTAAATTATTTAATTTTTAATCAGACTATCTACTACCCATTCTCATACACGAGAGCCATAACAATAAAAAATAATGTAAAACAGATAAATTATCAAATCACTCTAAAACCCACTGCAACAATAAACTAAAATAATTCAGTTGATTAATTAAAATTCCTATCGTTGACTGGATTTAGTAAAAATCTCATTAGCGGATTTTGCAAAGCCGAGAATTTCCAAACGCAACAGATCCGTACTCAAAATTAAAAGGGTCATATCTCTCTAATTTTACTTGAAAATATATTTGTTTTATTGAATTATATACCATATTAAAAGAAAATGATACACCCTATATATAAATATACGAAAATAACTTAAAAAATATATTAGGTTTTGCAGACACACACTTTCATTGTATCTTCCTGATTATGGGCTTAGCCGTACCCGAAAGCTATGAATAAAACCTTAAAAGAGTACAGTGTGTTAAGAATTATTGCTGCAAAACACAATATATTCCCTAACTTATTTCCTAAAATAGTCAGCAAAGACTAAGCATAGTGTGCTTTTATGTATAGATAAACATGTTTATATATTTATTTAGTTTTTGGACTTTTAGACCGGCCAAAATATAGTTGAAGATGTAATCCGATCCTGGTGGAAAATTATAATAGGCGTACTATTGGCATTAGTAATATGTCTGATATACATAGTGATCTTAAGATGGTTAGCCGCGCTTATGGTGTGGATCTCCATTTTCGGCGTACTTGTAGGTCTAGGAGCAGGTTTGTACCAAAATATTTAAATCAGATCGCAAACACGATGCCAAATAGCTGTATTGTCGAAATGTCATAATAATTAAGAGTGAACCAAAATTGTCCAGCAATATACTTCTAGGGGCCATAGAATACCTAAAATAATTAGTGCTTGTCTTATGGATCTAGCCTGTGGCAGCTCGTGGCCTAGTCCACGGGGGCTACTTTTGAAAGTCACTTAAGATATATAAAATTTATAAAAACTTACCAAAGCACTTTAGGTGATCCTATAGGTGTTCTTTTTGTTGTTTTCGTTTTTGCAGTAACTAGCCAATGCAATCTGTAGGTACCCGGCACTTTTTATAATATTAGGTAAGTAAATAAAAAAGAAAATAAAATAATGCGTTCAGAGTATCACACTCACATATCCACTTGTTTTTATTATGCACTTGCCTTGAAAATCACCTTGTATAATATATGATCCTTTTAAACTTGTGTCTGACTGAGTAAGTTTAAAATCGGAAGCAGGTTTTCCCAAAGATTTTATATATAATTTTTCCTACAGCGAGTCCCGAAAAATTAGTTTTTATATTTTATACACTATTACGTTATAAAAATGGCGTAACATAACTACCCGCGGATATAAACTAACCATCAAGGGAATACCCAACACACATTTTTTATAGTATATAAATAGGGCATTCCCAAAGTAACATTCGATGCTTCCCCACAGCTGAGAGTTTAAATTTAATGGGATTTATATGTGTCGGATTAGTGTATTCTTGAATAGATTTGAAAGTAAGGTAAATAAATCTATTAAAGGTCCCTAAAATTCAGTAGATAAGATCGGATATCGAAAATCAGTAAATTGGCAATACTGGCTAAGACAATAAATAGATTCACTGTTTAGACTGGAGCGTGGAGCGAAAGCAGAAATTTTCGTAGTCATGTTTCGTTTAAAAATTCTATATCTGTGACCCCCCAAGTGCACGTCTTATTAGGACCTAGAAGTATTTTTTCTTTTAATTAAAGAGAAGATCGCATCAAATAAAAATTGGTGCAATACATAAAGTTGACAATATAAGAATAACTAAATAGAATTTAGTATGTTAACAGATTTCAGAAAACTTTTTACACTGTTTATATTGCACGCAATGCCCATAATATTAGCTATTGGACCAGCGGGAAGGTCTGATCCAATACGTTGAGGTACAAGAAAAGAACAGTCTACGAGTATATGTTTTACAGTCAGCTTGATGTCGCAGTGGCTACATTTTGGTTCGATTTTAGAGCTAAATAAATGACTGTGCTTTAGTCGTGTATGACCCAAACGTAGCCTGGTTAGTTTTCGCGGGAGTAATGACCTTGGTTTCACATTATTTTTAATTTCACTGAGTTTAGAAGAAAAAGACGTATACTTAGATTCACATGCACTGAAAACTTTTGCTTCAATGAATGATTTTACGTCATTACTCAATAATAATTGAACCGGTTTTGCACTTTAACTATTCACAGCTTTTTTGGATAGTTTGTCTGCTTGCTAGTTTCCACTTATTCCTATGTGAGATGGCATCCGGATAAATACGATGTCTTTTTCCCTTAGCTAAGCCGAATAGAGTTCCTCTTTTATTTTGCTAATCAAGGAGTTGTTAGTAAAGATGCGTTGTAAGGCGAATATAGAGCTTAGAGAGTATGTGAGAAAAACAAAGTTTTGGGAAGTTGAGGAATTAGCGAATATTAATGCTTGGTATAGGGCGAACAGCTCGGCTAAAAAAGAGATGATTTTGACGGAAGTTTGTACATACTACTAGATGTGGGTGTAATGACAGCAGCTCCTGTTCTTTTGTCTAGTTTTGAAGTGTCAGTAAAAATTTGTAAGTATTCGTCGAATTGGTAGAGGATATTGCTGAGACTTGTTTTGATAATAGTCGAGGCAATAAACGACCAAAAGTTCGAAATTTTTCAGACTAAGACGGATCGGAAAGCGGTTTTTTGCATTCCCTTCCAATAATTTTTTGGAAAAAATGTCCCTACTTTTTATCTTATACAAACCGGAAATTTCATTGCTGCAGCCAAAAATGTTTTGAGACAACTTTTGGAAGATTAAAGAACTTTGTAAATAAGAGTCAGAACTGGCCCAAATCGAGTTCTCTGAAGTTTTCGAGGTCGCTGATCAGGATTATGATGTTGAAATTGACGCACATTGAGGAAGGAGAGAAACTCGGGGTTTTTTAAGTCGCTGAATTCAAATATAGCATCGGCGAACACCCCCCCGGACACTTGGTGCCGGAATCTAAAATTGGACGTCATCCCCGAGAATTTTCCTGACAAGATCGCCAATAACAACCTAAAAATCATTGTGAGGGCTTTTTTTGGGGCGCTAAATCAAAATTTCACGTCGAAAACGACCCTCTGAACACCTGGCGCACCAGGACCTGGTCCTAAAGGTCATCTCCGTGGGACTCTCCCAAAATTCACGCGGGGAAGGATAGAAACTCAGCGCCCGGAGGTTTTTTGGGTCGCTGAATTCAAATGTGGCAACCCGGTATTTAAAATTTTACACGACTGGATCAACTTTTTCGAGGGCCCCAGACGAGAGTTACATATCAATGAATGTGTGAAATTGTGAGACGATTTTCGGTTAGTCTTTTGCAGTCGTGTCTGGAAAACCCTCGGAGACGACGTTCAGCCCGAGGTTCCGGTGCACCAGGTGTTGGAAGGGTCGTTTTTGACGTGAAATTTGGATTCAGCTTCCCAAAAAACGACCCCACAATGATTTTTGGGTTGTTTTTGGCAATCTTGTCAGAAAAATTTTCGGGATGACGTCCACGTTCAGGTTCCGGCACACCAGGTGCCCGGGAACTATTTTGCTTCAATGCCTCGACTATAAGCTGAATATTCATTGAGTATTTGTCAAATGCGATAAGCGAGGTAAGACATATATGGTATTCAGGAATACAGTAGTTGATTTTATTTCTTGGTAGCTTCTTATTCTGTCATAGAAAGGCTTGCAGGTTCTAAAATGTTTCGAGAATAGAGTGTGAAATCTCTGGAAAAAACAGTTATCGAAGGTAGGATTTGTAGGATAGGTTTAAATTTAGTCTTCTGTGCTACAAAGAAGGTTCACCGACATCGCAGTATTGACTTTCAATTGGAGTTGTACGGAATGCTCCTATGGTTATTCGAAGTGCTGTGTTGTGGATGCAGTTAAAGTTTTAGACGCAGATATATAGATGATCGAACCGTAGTCCAAACTTGACCGTATTAATGTTCGGTATAAAGTAAGTAGTGTCTAAAGATATGCTCCCCAGGTTTTATTTAAAAGCATTTTTAGAAGATTGAGTCTTTTATGGCAGGATAAGATCAGATTTTTAATGTGAAGATTCCATGTTAAATAGGAGTCGGAGGTTATTCCCTGAAACTTTATAGAACATTACTTTTTTAGAAAATAGGTTGTAACGAATTTTAGCGATAGAAAAGGTAAAGTAAGTTTGCTGTGACCAAGTCTCCAGTTGATTGATAAATTGTTGGGTGTGTAAAAAATTATTGTTTATGTTCTTGCCATTGCAAAATACGACTAAGTCATCTGCATATAAACGCGCTTTGAGTGGTGGTTTAAGGCTTTTCAGGATATCGTTAATAGCTATTATGACTTAATGTGGAACCTTGGGGAAGACCGCTTTCAAGTATCATCTCATTGGAAAGAGTGGCGTTTGTTTTCACTTTAAAAGATCTACTTGTCAAAAAGCTTTTAACGAAGAAGAGGCAGTTGCATTGTATGTTCCAGTTGTATAGTTTCTTTATTATGTAGTCAAATGCTCAGTTGATGTCAACAAAGAGAGTTAAACATTTACCTTTAGTGCAAATGATTCATGGATTTCGCTTTCTAAATCAATGATGTTATCTAGTGTGCTACGTTGTTATCTAAATCCACTCTGTTCTGGTATAATCAGGTTGCGTCTAGTGTCCATAGCAACCTTTTATTAATAATTTTTTCATAAATTTGCACACCTAGAAGTATTGCTTCCAATTTCGGTTCACTTTGTATATGATACAATATTTTTTAGGATTATACTTTAGCGTTGTGAAATATATTGAGACACGCGATGCTTACACAAAGGTTTTAAACGATCAGACACGGTATGAGGACGAAAGGGAATATGAAAGTTCTCACTTCAAAACCAAACGTGACCTGTGGCTTGCAGGTCTTATAATCATATCTGTAGTATTAGGAATTATCCTATTGGTGCTTATATTTTTGAGAAAGCGTATATATCTGGCTATAGCCTTGATCAAGGAAGGAAGCAAGTAAGTCGACAGCAAATTGTAACATTTCGGTCAAAAATATAGTTTTATTTCAGTGTATTTTCTGCTTTGAGCTTTACTTCACTGGATTCTGTTGTTGAATGTAAAAATATTGTGATGGCTCAAAATATTATACAGCTCAAAAATTGAATTATTTAGAACAAAATTAATAACTATTAAAAAGTATTTGTATGTAATTTTGACAAGAATGTATTGACATTTTTTATTTTTGGTATTGTGAGAACATCTGTTTGATTGATTCTGTATTTTCAGAGCAGTAAGTTCAGTAACTGCATCACTTTGTTTTCCAATTGTGCCTTGGATTCTACAAATCTGTGTCATCGGTTATGCTATAATAGTTGGTGTTTATTTGGCAAGTACGGGAAAACCCTTATATAAAACTAGGCATGTAGACGAAAATTGCACAAAGGAAATAACTATACCCGTAAGTAAATTTTTGGTAATAAACTTAGCATTCGTATGAGGTATCACATGTTAGGAATAAAATTGTTCTTACTATGATCTCAAAATTGAAACTGTCGAATTGTCCATACAATTATTTTTTTCTTTGATGTGTTACACGTCGTATACTCCCTTTTTAAATATTTGTATGTGGAGGAGGGGGCATGGGGAAAAAGGGGTGATTACTTATGGATATGAATAAAAACAAAAATACCCAAAATACTTATAAATAATTATTTTAGGACGATGTTAAGTGTGATCCCGATTTATGGATAACGCTCATGAAAAACTCAAGCATAGCCGCAGCTTGTGTGAATGCAAGTTGTAGATTTATTGGGACGAATGATGTCCTTTATCCATATTTACAAGGTAGGATATATTATCTTCCATTTTACAGTTCAGGTTCCGCATAGACTCACATGGTCAGACTTTAACAAAAAAGAGCTGTTAATTTTGGCTGTTCTTAATCTTAGCGATAGCTGTAGAGGCTTTTTCTAAATACTTGAACTTATTAACTGTTCCTGCATTTTATGTCTACGAATGTCTTTGCTATGTATTTCGTAATCAACAATACTTTTCCAGTTTCATTATCGAACATAACTAATAGATTATCCCTATGGATCTTTTGTAAAACTATATAATTGTAATGTTCTATGGACTTGTACTACCAAATGTGTATCATTATTCTTTTATCCATTTCTTCCACCTCTTTAGAGTAGACATGCTTTTTAAAAACCATTAAAAAGTTAACAAAAACAACAATTTTATTATGAATTTAAAGGAATGTCTATACATAAACATAATCTCTACTCTGTTCTAGCTTATAACATTTTTGGATTCTTGTGGCTAGCCTTTTTTGTGACCGCATTGGGGCAGATGGTCCTTGCTGGTATTTTTGCGCAATGGTATTGGACTTTTAATAAGACCCAAATTCCATTTTTTGCAGTCACGTCTGCTTTCTTTAGGACTTTAAGGTAGGTCTAATGTTATTCATACATCAATATCAACAGTGGCGGCTTGTGATCTCATATAAGACAATATGATGAGGCCAACTATAAAATACTTTTATTTCGATAAAACAAAAATTTTGCCAAACTCTTTACTTAGTTCTTGAATGAATAAAACCAAATTTGGTAGATTTTCACAATACTTTTATTTTAAAAAATAAAAATTAAAAAATTTAAAACACTATACATGACATGTTTCGAAGTACAACTTCTTTTTCAAATGTGACTAATTTACAATTCGGTATCCAATATATATGCGAAATAATTTAACAAAACAAAGTACTTAAGAAAACATCAATAACATAACAAAATAAACTATTTAAAGTAAAAAAGGGTACTTAGGTAATTATGATATCAATCAGATAACAATAAGATAGTAACATTACCGGGATTATCTCACAGAAAACTAGGAAAGAGATTTAATAAGGGTGAGTTATTAATATCTAATTGATCTGAATTTTTAAATCTATTTATTTCAAGTGTTTCTAAATGTATTAGTTTAATGCCCTTATTTTCTATATGTAAAATTTCAAAGTTGTCTGTAAAAGAATGATTTTCAGCTAAAATATGATTTGAGTAAGTAGAATTATTTTTGTTTTTTGTATAGCTATTATAAAGTTCGGAATAGCGCTTTTTGAAAGTACGGCCTGTTTGACCAATATACAATTTTGGACAACTACCACAATTTAATTTATATACCCCCGATTTATTATTAGGATTAATTTTACCCTTATTGTTTTTAATATACCTCCCAAGCGTATTATTGGTTTTAAAAGCTACGTTAATATTTTGGTTTTTAAATATGATGATACCTTTTCACTAGGAGCTCCTATATATGTAAGACTCTTATATCTGCAATTTTGATCTTTAATTATGGGATAAACTTGTTGAATAGCGTGTTTAAAAAGTTTTTTCTCTAAAATGTTGTCTACTAACTTTGAATTAAAATTATTGTTTACTGCGATTTGTTTAATGATATTTAATTATTTTGTGAAGTTCTCTTTGGTAAGGGGGATATGAACTAATCTATGGATCATACTGTTAGTTATTAAAATATCCACCAAGAACCTACGTAGAGAAGTCTTACCTGAAAAAGAAAAGGACTTCCTTCCAATTAAGTAGCCTCAATAGTTCCTTCTTTATCATATTTAGGCCGAGCGACCAACTGCGATGGATTTATGTGCTATTCTGCGATAGGTTGAACGAAAATACGACAAGGAGGTACTTTGTTTCATTTGTCGCTTCTTCTCATTTAATTAAATGGATCGAGACTAGCTTCGAGAGTTCCTCTTTTTATTATATTTAAACCACACGACTGCCGACATATAAATTTCGTAACATGCATTCATTAAATTAAACCTATACTGGAGCCAACATTTCGCATGTCAGGACACCTGCATACACTCATACAGCCGTTTAACCAAGCCACATACCGAAGAAGCATCTCCCATCTCGCAAGTAATAATCTTTATCTCGCTTAATTTAACTCAAAAAAATAAAAATACTTAGAACAAAATCTCGTTGACCATCTGTGTCTTTGTCACTAGACGGGCGAGGCCATCATGTAATAATCCGAAAGGTGTCGTGTCGTCAATCAAATATTCCTTTCGCAACCGATTTCGCTGGCCGGCCCGCAATCTCTTAGCAGTAGATATAGTAGAGATACCTAAATTTAAATCACATCCAGTCCAATAGGTCTACATAGAATAAGTCTACATCGTTATTTCGTTCCTTCCGTAATCTACTTGCCAGCCGATAATTTCTAATTTCACGTCGCTCTCCAATCGTTCGCTCCTTTTTCGTAATCTACTTATCGGACCGAACGGTACATCTGTATCTGTAACGTGTGGAGGGTGGGTGACCCCACGGCCTTTGGCCTCACTAGGCTCATTGTGAATCCTCCTAAATTGATAGGCACTTCCCATCTTGTGAGCCAGCTTAATGTAGTTGGCAACGTCGCCAAGGGGTGCTTCTCTTATATCTTGTAATAAATGAAAGAGTCGGACAATCTAGAGGATATGCTCGATAATCTCATCTTCTTGTTCGCACCCCCCTGCAGAGTGCGGATTCTGACAATCCCATGATATGGAGATGCTTCCATACTTGACAATGACCAGTCAGAATGCCTGTGACCAAGACCAGATTATGTCTTGACATAGTCAAGTATCTGTTTGATGTAGTGTTGTCAGGATAACTTAAAAGAACGAGAGAACCCAGACAGCACACCAAATCCTTTGGATATCTATTTATTGACATCCCAATATCCACTGAATGTCCAGTCCATGGTGGATATCTATTTTATATCCATGAGATGTAATTTATAGACATGCAAATGTCCATAAATAATAGTAATTATATAGCAAATTATTAAAAAATTACGCCATTGTGCTCATCGCCATTGTGGCTAATAGTACCGTTCAGATATTTAATTTTTTTAAGGTGTATTTAATATCCTATGGACATCCACTAAATATATCAAAGTCTAGGCGCGAACGCAAACCATCGTGGATATCCACTAGATGTAATTTTTGATTTTGCTTACTAAGTATAGATGGCGATACTACTTTCGCTCGTGCTCATGATCAACCCGCCGTAATTGAGTTCGATCGAAATTTGTTTCACAATCAGACTCCATTAGAGACTGGAGTCGAGAATTTCCATTTATTGCTGAAGAGTCCTAATAAGGATAACTTTCTCCTTAGTGGGTAAAATCCAAAATCAAAGGCAGAGTGTTGAAAATATTTTTATCTCTGCTATTTTCTTTCGACTTTATTCAATAATCATTGGTTACTTATGAACCTCTACTAAAGATACCTATAAAATATTTTGCTTGATATCCGAATTCTTCTATATCCTGGGATATAGACGGACATTTGGTTGGATATCCATATTGGATATCCACAGAATATATTCTGTGGATATATCTGGAATTTCTTGTATTGTCTGGAAGATACTCATTAGATATTTTGCTGGATATCCATATGATATCTTCTATATTCTGGATATAGAAGGACATTTGGATATCCATATTAGATCTACGGAATATTTCTGATATCCTGTGGATATATTGGATATCCACAAAAGATATTCTGTGGATATCTCTGGGATTTGGTGTGTTGTCTGGGAATGTTCTTTAATTAGGTCTGTTACTACCGATGTTGTCAAGCCAATAGAATGGACACGTTTAAAAAGTATTTGATTGGTTGTCTTATTGGCTAGTGAATCAGCAAGGCGGTTGCTTTTCGATGTGGTGTGTCCTTTTATCAATCTTTAGGTGACCACATTGTAGAGGATACTTCGTCAAAAGCTTCGTGATATTTTAGTACTAACCCTGAGTAAATTCCTTGGTCTGTCCAGAGTTAGTAGTGCTTGTTTGCTATGAAAATCTATGTGAGCTCGGTTTGAACTACCCTGGCACGATTGCTATAGTCCATTTTATATTTAGGTTTAATGATCTGGAGTATATTCCACGTCCAGAACCTTGTTTTGTTTTAGAACCGTTGCGCTCTGGTGTAGATATGAATCGTACCTGCCACTTCCGGCTCTTCTATTTGTTTCGTTGTAACGTTATATGGCTTATGGAAGATATATCTCGATGAGATGGAGTCCAGGTTCGATTGAAGCAGTGGAAGCGTATTGAGCGCCTCCTGCCAAAAGCGACGTGTCGCCTCGCTAGATCCTGCATCATCAGGTTCTATTTCAACCGTGCGGTGCCATGTTATCATCAGTGCAATTTCCTTGATGTAAATATCAAGAGAAGTAAGACTTAGAATGACTTCCATGGCTCTGGTTGGTGTGTACCTCGAAAAGCAAGGCCTACTGCTAATGTACAAATAACAGCTATAACTCGCTGTAATACGTGCTCTCAGTAAACACTCGCTTCATGAATTTGCGTTTCAAAACCTTAAGCCTGGCCTGCGTGTTAAATATGTCAATAGACAATCTCTATGACTGGAACTCCTTTCGGGAGGAGCGGGGCTATGGCGGGAGCTGGGTTATGACCCCGATCGTCAACTCTTTAGTGAATTGAAACGCGCGGATTTTCAAACAGCTTTACTTTTCATATGCTAGCAATAGGGCTTTTCATCACAATATTTTTTGTGTCAGTATCAGTCATCTTTTTCGTACTGTTTTTTTGTAAACAAGCATGTTAAAATGTCCACGTGAAAAAATTATAATCGATAAATATTAATTTTAAGTGTATTCGTTTAAAAAATGGGATAAAAAAAGTAAAGTAATAAGTGTCTTAATTGAAAAATCAATTTTTGCAATCAATTAATTATGCTATGTTTACGGAAACGAAAAACTAAACGGTATTGTTATGAGTATGTAAAAGTGACACACGATATAAATTATTATTTTTTAAAAAGACTTGCCTGCAATATCGTAAAATACTATCAAATCAATAGGCAAAATACATATTAAAACATGTTCAAAATGAGCATTATAAGTGAAAAAATGTGGTCGAAGTGACAAAAGTTTTCGATCGATTGATGGATGATGTTACTAAAGATACTTATATTTGTTCACTACATTTTCATGGAGAAAGTGGCTCAACAGAAGAAAATCCTTGTCCGGTATTACACAAAATATTTTTTTAATATTAAATACTACTTTGGTATACACAGTAATATTATTAAAAATGTCATGTTGATCCTTAAAATTTTAAATAATTTATCTTATTAATTATACTAGTGGTTAACTTTGATGTTAAAGTGTTTTTACAATTATTAATAGTTGGTTGGCATAATTAATTAGAATAGAGTTATAATTATTATTTGTTTTCATTAATTTTTTACACAGTTAATATGTATTGAAACCTAACCTCTCAATCACCACACTTTTTTTTCTTGTTCCAAACGTCTACGTACGTCTGCGCTCATCACATGATGAAAAGGCCTATTATTTTTTTTTGGTGCTGTTTCTGGTGCCCCTAAGACGTGATATCCTAAGCAATTGCTTAATTAGCCCAAATCCGGCACTCTTTATTCACAATTGATACCTTTGTATTTTGTCGAACATAATACAAAACCTTGGTTAAATTTAATAGGTACATACCTTTTGGCAATGGGTATGATTTTAATTGTGCGATGTTTGAATCGAAATATTATCCCAGAAATAACGAAAACAATATATTTTTTAAATAATTTAGTTTGACTTAATAATATTAATTAAATTAATTGTTAAATATTTTGGTGAGTTGATAATAATGGCCGTATTCACCGTCGTCAAACATGTTGTATTCATGTATTGTAGTGTAACCAACTGAAATAAAGAGAGACAACTTAACTAATATCTCTCTCTCTCTCTCTTATATAAAAGTATGATAAATAAAGTGGCGGCGTGATCGACTATGAAGTGATTAGGACACCACGAGTGACAGATTGAAAGATTCGTTATCTATTGGCTACTTACGTGTTATTGAGGGAGTGGTAAAGGTTAAAAGAAAATAACTATTGATTTATATCTAATCTTTATTGAAAATATTATAGATGACAGAATCAGAAAGTAAAAATTTATAGGTATATAAAATATATTTATAAAGATTAAATATAGGTCTGGGCGGCTATCCTCGACAATCGCTAAAAAAACGAACCGTTTTCGAAAGTGAGTGGTTGAAAAGCGAGTAGTTTTTGAAATCTATATTCTTGACTGACGTTCGATGAGTATTCGTTTTTTAAGACGTATACGTTTTTAACAAGCAAATAATATGTCTGGCATCACTGTAAACTGTCTATATCGTTGAATTCAAGTAATGTGCAGGCCATAAAAGAATAAGGATTATGTAATTTAATTACAACAAACCAATTGTAAATTTGTCGAACGATGATTTTTTCTAATCACATAATATATATCGATGTTCAGGATAATCTGAATCGTTAATTGTTGGCGTAAAAATAGCTATACGGGTGCAGTTAATGCAACCTATAATTCTAGGAAAATCGTACGTCATAAAAACCTACTTTTTAAGGTAAAAAATTCATTTAACTAATAACTTTGCTTATCTTATTCAGTTCTTTAATATTTTGTGGCAATTTTACAAAATTGTAAAAATTTCTGGACACAACGTGTGATACAGAAGAGCTTTGAACCGCAAGCAAATTAACATTTGTAAATAAAACATACATGAATTAATAATTAAATTCTTACACGGTAAGATATAAAAAATATTCATTCAATATCAGTTAAAATCAAAAACTGGATTCTGCCTCTGCAAGTCTGAATCTTTAAGGATTCCTATCTTCTAAGTTTTCTAATTGTACAATTATTGATAATATAATTGAAAGAAATTCTCAGCTAATGGACTTCTTTAGTACTGCAAACCATATTTATAAGAAATTAGATACATTTGTAGGTATTAATAAAAAGTAGTTTGCCTAGAATTTGTTAAAATCAATTAATAATATTAATCGTCCTAAAAGTGACATATAAGTGACATTGACTAAATCCTTGAAAACATGCACGTTTTATCAAAAACGTGTGAAAAATTCTGCTCGCTGTAAAAACACCCTCGTATGTTGCTAAAGCGTGTACGTTTTTTAGAAAACGATAGCCGAGGATAGGGCCCCTGGTTCGGTGCAATAAAAAAAATAATTAATTTATCAAATGAGGGGAAAGAACCAGCAAGAAAACCCCAAAGTTATAATAAATACAATAAAACCAATTTGGATACAAATGACAAATTAAGTATATATATATATATATATATATATATATATATATATATAAAAACACATTTAATTACTTGATGATTTGGTTAAACACAGAAAAATATATGAAATAATATTCAAAACATTATTTAAAAAAAAAACAATATCTAATACTGCAAGGCAAAAACAAAATAAATATTTTAAGAACAATAACTCATCAGATAACAAACATTGAGCATTACTAGGTTCAAACACACTCGATGCAAAACTGAAGAAGGGTTAATAGGGACAAGGTAATGGGGAAGCTCTACAGCTTTACTACCCACCTAGAGTTGAATATTCTGGTGACAAAATAGGGTAAGTTACCGAGACACCTATCCCGATGTTGTCCCAGCCACGGGCGAAAATGTTAGTATCAATCAACAAGGCATTTTATACTTTTAACTTAGATCTGCCAATGCTGTGAATTTCTGATGTTAGAAAAACACATAATTTACTAATATAATATTACTTTTCCCTTGCCGAACTTTAAAAATGACTAAAAAAAAAATAATCTCAATGCCAAATAAAAATTATAGCAAATTTTCCTTGGTATAACTACAAAATATCAATAAACTTCAAAAATATTTAAATTAAAATATTAAAAGGATGCTATGTTTCACTGATTTAGATAGTAAAATAAGTCATAAAATCAAATAAACTCGTTATTGGAATGAAAGCAATTTTTTATGACAGATACAAAAAAAATGCCGTCAAGAAAAAGCATGAAATTACTTATAACAGTGAAATTCAAATCTAAATAATAGTGAACCATCAACTAGTTAAATAATATAAAAGTAATTGAAACATAATAATTGATTTAAAAAGGCACTTACATTTTTATCACAAATAAAACTAACAAAAACCTACACCTTTTTAACAATCACCGACATTCCATTCTCTCCACGTTAATCACCGACATTCAATAATTAATTCTCGTTCCTATGACGATGATTCTCTGCTTCTGTTCCAGCGCATCCACGACTTTGGTTCCTGGAATTTACCGCGGTCAAAAGCGATAGAATAGGTGGACGCTTTATATTGCCATTCAACGGGGACGGAATTAAATACGATCCCTTTCAGTATAATCAGTGATGATGAACTGTTAACTGCTTCACTGCTTTTCTGATCATGATAGATAATCGAAAAGCACAAATAGAATAATACTTTTACCCTTCAAAATTATAAAATCGATCTTGAACTTCTGTCTGTTAGCATTTTGTTAGATTATTTGTTTATTTATTTACATTTCTCCCGATTTTGATTTAATAAAATGGATATTCGGTCTGAAAACAGAGTACACGGTACAATTCTTAATTATTTGCCTATAATTAAAGTTTAAAATTTGAGGTTAAGGAAACAAAGCGAAAACAACGTCAGCTCAACCGATTACGAAAAGTGATTTTGCGATTCTTAAGACAATGTACTTATAGACCAAAATTATTTGTTAAATATTTTGGTAAAGCACTGCCTTATCTGCCTCATATGACAAGCCGCCACTGAATATAAATAACTTAAGCCCTTATATTTTTTGTATCATGGTTTGTTTTAATATTGACAGTTATTTTCTTGTTTTAGGTATCACATTGGAACATTAGCATTTGGATCTCTGATTATTGCGATATGTAGGATAATTAGAATAATCCTAGAATACTTAGATCACAAATTGAAACAGTACGATAACGAGTTCACGAGAGCCATTATGTGCCTTTTGAAATGTTTCTTCTATTGTTTGGAGAAATTCCTCAGATTTTTAAATAAAAATGCCTATATTATGTGCGCCATTCACGGGAAGAATTTCTGTATAAGCGCCAAAAATGCATTTATGCTCCTTTTAAGGAATATTGTTAGAGTATGGGTATTGGATAAAGTAAGATATATTTCATTTATATAATTATAGTCCCTACATACTAAATTTAATCTCTGTCCTAGATGAGTTTGGAAGAAGTTCTTTCAAATTTTGTATTGGTTTATCTTTCTTGTGTTAATTCATTTATTCTATCCATTTGCTTTTTTATACTTATCTTGTAATTTCTGTTGGGCACCTATTACCTCCATTATTCTGTTTAATAATGCAATGCTAACTATAAAAAAGAAACTGATGAGGTGGTCGCACCTAGCTGTTCTATTGGCCTTTGACACTCACGAGACTCCAATTGCAATTTTGGCTCTTTATCTCAAGAGAGAGATGAAGTAATGTTGTTTGTAATTCTTACAGGCAAATATGGACAAGTTATTATCTTTTAAGATTTTTCCATTTTGACATTTAACAAATTTCGATTTTTTTATACAAAAATTATGTTCTTATCTGCAGTCGCTATAACGCACTGATTAAAAAAAATGTGTCAATTTATAGGTTTCCATTGACTAAAAAATGTATCTACAAACTATGAAAGCTATATTATTATAGACAAAAAGTTATTAATTTTTGGAATATTATTTTTTTTTTTTTACTTTTAGGTTACAGACTTCTTGTTCTTCCTTAGCAAACTTATGTTAACACTCGGAGTTGGAGCCGTGTCATATGTCTTCTTTGTATCAGGCTTATTACCAACGAGCATAATAGATAATTCAGGTCTTAACTATGGTATTGTTCCAGTGGTGATAATAATGATTTGCACGTACTTGATCTCAACTCTGTTCTTCAGCGTCTATACTATGGCTGTTGACACATTGTTCTTATGCTTCCGTAAGTATATAATTGTCATACAATGGACGAGTACTGCATAGTGTCAGTGATGCCAACTATGTTTTTTCGACAAGAATGACAAATAAGCTCAATCTTTTTAGACGGCCTCTTATATAAATATAATCTATTAATCTTTCAAAACGTATTGTGATTTTTAAATCGGGAAGAGACCTTCATAAATTTTAAATTTGAATTTAATCCTCGAGCGAGTACGTAGAAAAGGTTTCATTAACAGATTGCTTATTTTATTTGCCTCGGGACGATTTGTAAACAGTATTTGTATTTATTATTATACAAAAAGACAATAAAACCAACTTATGTGGCCTGGCACCCCGATGCATTTACGCACAACGCCAACATGCGACTGAAATACTCAAAAAACTAATCTGAGCCACTCGATTATGTGGCCCCGTTTAAAGGTATTAAAAACGTACTTTCTGCATGTGTGACGTAAGCGTTTTCAATATATTGCTATGCTAGCGGCCGGGCCGTTGTGAGATGTGCTCGAACGGAATATAGTCTACCGAGTTGAGTCAGTCGCTTGAATTATTTGTTGCGTCTTTGAATATGTTCTCTCTTCTGTGGAATAACATGGAGCGAATTTTTGTTTCGGAATCAAATTTCATACTGATAAATAATTTATACAGTGTGTCTGAAGAAGTTGGCAACAAATGGGAAACTTTTTTATTATTAAGTTTAGGAAAAAACGTCATTCTTCATAAAAAGTTCTGCAAGGCCTAAAACCCAATATACGATAATCAGATATCGAAATTTTCCAATCGTATACGAGGTTTGTCAAAAAGTATGAATTTTGCTCAAGAGTAAAGTACCTTTATTTTCGACAATATCTAAAATTGTTATTAAGAAAAGTTGATTAGAATTAAAAACTACGTTTAAATGTCTAATTACAGCTATCTACGATAAAAACCAGGTTTTATTATGGTTTACAATTTCTTTAAGATCGAAAATGATCAAAAACTAGGTATCTAAATTATTGACCTGTACAAAATCAAGTTGCTGTGGAAATGTTTTGAAACATATCTTATGTCAGTATGCTTCAAAACCTCAGTTTGTAATAATTGTACTTTTTTAAATACTAGTAAAAATGCCGTTGAAATTAAGTCTTGAAGAGAAAATTGAAATTGTTTTAATTGTTGGAGATAACTACAAAACTTATAGGGAAGCTGCCATAATCTTTAATAACAGACATCCTGATAAAAATGTACATTTTGCAACAGTAAGTAAAATAATAAAAAAGTTCAAGTGTTCCGGAAATGTTGAGAATAAATTCAAAAAGAAACATGAGGCATGGGTTGCTACTGAAGAAATTCAAAATCAAGTAATGCTCTCAGCAATAGAAAATCCTAAAGATTCCATAAGAAAAAGGGCAGCTTTACTTGGTGTGCGCAAAGACGTAGTTGCAGGAATATTAAAAGCAAACAAATTTAAACCTTACAAACCCCAGTTCACTCATACCCTAAAAGCAGGAGATTTTAATAGAAGATTTGAATTTTGTGCTTGGTTACAAGGGGAGTTAGAAGATAATAATTATATGGCACGGTGCATAATTTTTTCGGACGAGGCAACGTTCACTTCTAATGGGGTAGTCAGCTCACAAAATTGCCGTTGGTGGAGTGATGTTAATCCTAATTTCACTGTCCAAACTCGTGACCAATACTGTTTTAAAACAAATGTATGGTGTGGAATTTTTAAAGATAGAATAATTGGACCATTTTTTTTTCGAACTAATATGAATGCTGAACGTTATCTGGAATTTTTAAATAATGAGATTCTTGAATTTCTTCATAACCTACCAATAATGGAAAGGCAACGTACATGGTACCAACATGATGGAGCAACCTGCCATAGTACAAGAAATGTTCGAGAATGTCTTCTACAAATTTTTAACGGAAGAGTAATTGGAAGATTTGTGGACTTTGCTTGGCCTCCAAGATCTCCGGACCTGACCCCCCTAGACTTCTTTTTATGGGGATACTTGAAGCAAAAGGTATACCTTAAAAGACCGTTTGAAAATATTGATCATTTGGAAAGAATAATTAGGGAAACATGTGACGGTGTTACTCCAGATGTTATTAGAAATGCAATAAAAGAATTCTCTCGAAGAACAATTACCTGCTTAGAAAGGGACGGTGGATATGTTGAGGCGTACGTGCAGTGAGGGAAAAGTTAATCCGGATTCTTCTTTTTCATGCATGTAATGTTTGATGTTGTGTTTTGAAAATAAATGATTTTAATTATGTATGCATTTGTTTACATTGTATTATTGATAACTCGTGCAAAACAAAGTCAATATTTATAGCAAAATTTGCAATGAGAAAATGAGTGGTGTAATCATCAGTAAGTGCACATGAACATAATTTTTAATTTCTATCGATATCTGAGGTTTTGAAGCATACTGACATAAGATATGTTTCAAAACATTTCCACAGCAACTTGATTTTGTACAGGTCAATAATTTAGATACCTAGTTTTTGATCATTTTCGATCTTAAAGAAATTGTAAACAATAATAAAACCTGGTTTTTATCGTAGATAGCTGTAATTAGACATTTAAACGTAGTTTTCAATTCTAATCAACTTTTCTTAATAACAATTTTAGATATTGTCGAAAATAAAGGTACTTTACTCTTGAGCAAAATTCATACTTTTTGACAAACCTCGTATACGATTGGAAAATTTCGATATCTGATTATCGTATATTGGGTTTTGGGCCTTACAGAACTTTTATGAAGAATGACGTTTTTTCCTAAACTTAATAATAAAAAAGTTTCCCATTTGTTGCCAACTTTTTCAGACACACTGTATATGCATCGTTTAGCCAAAAATAAATATTAACCGACATGTTTTGGGCTAGTGCCACGGCCCTATAGTCCCTTAGGACAAGCCTCCACTGAATACAGCGTATTATGGTTTGAATTTTCAAAATATTTTGAAAGAATAGTAAAAATGAAAATATTTATAATTAGCTCATATTTTCCGGATCGACAGTTAATGGAGATAGCAATGCAGGTTCGGAAGGTATTCATCCCTAACTGGTGAGCTTTATCAGGATTGAGAAACGTTTCAACTATTATGAAAAAGTAAAGTTTTTACAGAAATTACCAAGTTCGGTTAACTGAAACGTGTCACCCCATAAAAATATATCCTTAAAAGTTTATACAAATAAATCTCGAATAATCATTGCAGGAAACAAAAAATAATAATACTAACGCTTACCATATTGTATCGATGGCTTTTAATCAAAAAAGGAATTAATTAATGAAAGAATGGCTAGGAAATTCAATGATGAACCTGACATTTATTTTAATAAAAATGACCATCACAAAATGATTATCGACTGAAAAACGCAGGACCGTGACACTGATTAGAGATAGGACCCTAGAGGTGGAAGAAAAATAATAGTATCATAGATGTACCGATAAATTCTATATCTCAAAAATGTGATGTTCTATGACAAACAGAAGTTTTGAAAAATATTTTGGAATAAATTTTCTATGACGTCAATTGCACTTCGAAGGACGTCCTATTTTGGTCAAAACATTCAGTTTTCGGTCCGAGTCCAGGACGTTAATGCGACGTCTATGGTACTTCTTATTGATCTTTAAATCGATACTTGAAATTCCACGTTTTGTTTTTGAGAGAGAAGGAGGACAGAAAACGTATCATTCAAATGAACAACACCAGCTAAAATATTAGAGCGTTATTGTAAGTTCACTTAAGGTCAGTCACTATTAGTGCTGCTCTTATTTTGACATATAAGCATGCAGATCGTTTATGTTCTAAAACTGACTTGATTGTGCCTGTCCTTAATTGTGGATGTTTAAGGGCAGCAGGTAGTGGCGACTTTATAGCTTTCGGGTGCGCTCGCCGACAATCGTATCCGTTCGAAGTTTTTTAATATTAAATATTTAATATAATCGTCATCTAAGCCTTCTAAAATTATAATTTCTAATGCCTCTTCAATATGATGTACTACTATAGACAACAAAAAAGATGAACTATAATTTAAAGTTATTAAAATGAGGTTAGAAATAAGTATAAGGACAAGGATTCTAATGTCAAAATTTCAGGATCGAACTTCCTTCAGGTAAGTCGTTTGATCCATTAATTATGCTTCACATCCTTGTTAGTGGAAATAAAGATAACCATGTAGTTGTTTAGAGGATGTTCTATTATCAAAATAAAACTAGATTTTTGCTGTCTACGTATACAAAAGAATATGCAAAAAAATATTACTATAAATTTCCCACAAAATTAACAATAATAATTAATAACAATACTAATGAATTAATCATTAACATTCTTTCCAAAATGAAAAACCATCGATATCTGCTTTTTTATCATATTTTTCACATTTGTGTTTAAGATGGATATATAAGGTGCCTACGATGCATATATTCTATGGTAGATGTATGATAATACTTTTGTTGCATTTGCATTTGTTTTGATGTGTCTATTTCTGTTCCCTCCAAGCCTAGCTTACAGAGGTTCAGCTAAACTTCCCATCACCTTTCAAGTTGGTCTTGCAGCATATATAAATAGCTGTCGGTTTCATTTGATAACGTGACTTTTTTTTTTAAGATGCAGGATTTACCCATACAGTAATATAATCAATGAGCTTTGCGTAGCATTTTTGCGTCCTTGCATTTTATAAGCATAAGACCAGAGTTACCAGATATTTATTTGTCTATAATGCAGAATTTACATAGTACCTACTTTCTGCTTCCAAAGTTTTTTGAAGTTTACATTTTAAGTAGCATTTTTTGCATTGCGGTTAGCCGGGCTAGCATCTTATAAGTATAAGATCAGATTTAACACCTAAAGCAGCCTCCTTTGTGCATTTATTTGTTTATAATGCAGAATTTCCATATGAAATATTATCTTTTGTGGCCAAAGTTTTGCGAAATTTACACATTAAGTAGAATTATTGGCGGTGCGGTTAGCTGGGCTAAGTATAAAATCAGAGTTAATACACAAAGTAGACTTTTCTGTACATTTATTTTGCAATAATATGCAGAATTTACACATGAAGTAGCCTTTTTCGCGATGCAGTTAGCCGAGTTTGTAGTTTATAAGTATAAGAGTTAACACATAAAGTAGCCTTCTCTGTATATTTGGTTTAAGTGCAGAATTTACACATAAAATAGTATCTTCTAAAGCCAAAGTTTTACAAACTTTACACATTAAGAGGCATTTTTCGCGTTGCAATTAGCAAAGTTTTCAGTTTATAAGTATAAGATAAGAGCTAATACATAAAGTAGTCTTCTCTGTAGATTTATTTGGCTTAAATGCAGAACTTACACATAAAATAGTATCTTCTCAACCAAAGTTTTGCAACATTTACACATTAAGTAGCATTTTTCGAGTTGCAGTTAGCCGAGTTTGCAGATTATAAGTATGAGATCAGAGTTAACACATAAAGTAGCCTTCTCTGTACATTTATTTGGTTTAAATAAGTTACACATAAAATAGTATCTTCTCGACCAAAGTTTTACAAAATTTACACATTAAGTAGTATTTTTCGAGTTGCAGTTGGTCGAGTTTGCAGTTTATAAGTATAAGATCACAGTTAACACATAAAGTAGCCTTCTCTGTACATTTATTTGGCTTAAATAACTTACACATAAAATAATATCTTATGGACCAAAATTTTACAAAATTTACACATTTATATAGTAGCATTTTTCGCGTTGCATTTAGCTGGGCTTGCATAATGTAAGTATTAGATCAGAGTTAACACATAAAGTAGCCTCCTCTGTATAGTTATTTGTTATTTGCAGAATTTACACATAAAGTAGTATCTTCCGCCACAAAAGTTTTTGCGAAATTTCTACATAGTCGCATTTTTCGCTCTGCTTATATGAATGATGTATCTTCTGCATATTTATGTCGTCTAAATTCGGAAATTTACAGTAAAGCAGTATCTTCTGTAAGCTAAAAATCAATTAAATTATGAAGAAAACCATTCTCAAACCTGTACTAGTATAAGATCAGAGTTAACACATAAAGTAGCCTCCTTTGTACATGTCTTTGTCTATAATGCAGAATTTACACATAAAGTAGTATCTGCCCTCATCAAAGTTTTGCGAAATTTGCACATTAAGTAGCATTTTTCGTTTTGCAGACGGATTTTATGAATGACTGTACCGTTAACACATAAAGTAGTATCTTCTGTATATTTGTCGTCTAAATCCAGAAATTTACTCATAAAGTAGTATCTTCTGTAAGCTAAAAATCAGTTAAATAAAAAGAAAAACATTATTCTCCTACCTGTGCTCTAAATTCCTTCACTTCTTTTTCAATTTATCGTATTTCTAATACGATTTTTGGTAATGTAAACAGGCAGCGATAGAGAGTTACGTAAAATTTTAAATCTAAACATGTGGGTCAGCGGCGTAACATAGGTATACTACATGGTTATCTTTATTTCCACTAACAAGGATGTGAAGCATAATTAGAGAATTTGGTGATAAACCTTTTTCTATAGTTGCTTTTTTTCCCTAAGATAAAGCGTTTAAAAGATATTGTGAAAAAAAAAAAACAGTGCGGTGCCCCTAAAACAGGCAAGGAAGCTTACCCTTTGGGGATGGGAACTTTGTCGCTATGTATACCTACACACATAAGCTAACAACCCTAGACATTTCAGCTTACTATAATTTTTTTCTTCTATTCCACACAAAAAAAATTTAATTTACGTCTACTAAAAAAACCGTTTTAAACATCGAGATATTTCAATGGTTTTAAATGATTGAGCTTATCTGTCATTCTTGTCAGAAAAGCATATTAAAGTTGGCATTACTGATATTATTCACATACGTACAATATTTTAATGGAACATATTTATTTTTTAGTGGAAGACTGCGAACGAAATGATGGTTCCCCGGAAAAACCTTATTACATGTCTAAAAATTTAATGAACATATTTGGCAAAAAGAACAAAATTGATTAAAAAAAAAACAAATAATTTGATTCAGCAAAAACAGTTAGAACTGTACCCTTTAGTTTCTATACGGTATTTCTATTATGGAGACAATGAATACATGAAATTGAAATGATAGTTACTTTCCGCAAAAAGACTTCAAAATTACTATGGTAGAGACTATATGCCAAAAAAAGTTAGGAAAATTAAGACTTTAGTTTTTCAGGTTCGATTTTTGGCTGCAGATCTAACTATTTTTGCCGAATATGCATGTGTATGTATGTAGCAGTATTTTTTATATGAAAAACCGAAGTATCTGTGATAAGAATATTGTGAAAATGTATTCATGCTATAGTATATGCCAAATATTTAAGCTAAACCAACCAAAACTGATTTTTTTATGTAAAAACGATTTTAAAGCATATTGTATATACAATTTATCTTACAAAATTATATTTATATATTTTATATACCTTGATTTTCTTTTAAATTCGCCTATATACCTTAGGGCCGATTTCACCGTTGTGTTAAACGAAGTTTAAAGTAACATTGTTAATGTAAAAATGTTATTTTAAACCTGGTTTATTTCTTAACTACTACTAGCGGTGGAATTGTGCATTAATTAAATGTATCCAATATATCATTTCATAATTTTTTTAAGATGTAATACGAACACACTAGAAAAAAGTTCGTATGTTAGCAAATTAAGCTGAATACAGACAGTAATAAATGAATTTACTGATGTGTAGATGCCAAACCAATGTAATATGGTAATGGCGGGAGTAATAGACCACCAGGAGTGAAAGATCTAGTCATTATTTCCGATTATAAGCTCAATAGCGTTTTAGTCACTGTTAAAAACAAGATATTTTTAACCATAAACTAGTTTATCGCATCACTTTTTGCAGTGAACAACCTAAAAAATGCATGCAATCGGAGAAGTTGTTTGGCGCGCTTTGGCAAAGAAATCACATATTACCACGTTAGTTACGTCGCACTACAATACCCGCCAAGAGATACATCGTATGTGCAACTAAAATTATTGGTCGAAAGGTAGACAGACAGTAGGCGCCATTGTCAATATTTAGTAAACGAATCTTAAAAAATTCATTCCAATATCATCTCTCTGAGTATTGACAGTGCAGGAATAAAATTCATTCCATTATCGTTTCTCTGAGTATTCACAGTGCAGGAATCAAAAGAATGCACTCGTGAACAAACAATATTCTGAGATATTAATTTTTTATGTGAAGTTGTAACCAATAAATATTTTGTGTTAATTTGCCAGTTAAATAAATTAAATTAGACAAATGTCTTAAGTCGAGAAAATAATTTACAAAAACCTTCATCATACATCAAATCTTCAAAAATAGCATCAACGGTGTGTTACATCTGGTAAGGTAAAAGATGGGACGTAACCCGAATACACTGCAATGGATGTATACAGCAATAGTGAGACCAATCATCACTAACGGAGCTATAGCCTGGAGTAACAGAACTAGTTTAGCTACTACGAGAGCTAATATCTCAAAAGTACAAAGACTACCTTGTGTTTGCATCAGCAGTCACAATGGAGGTGATCTTAAACCTCACCCCTCTACATTTAATAATAGAGAATGTGACAAAAAGGACACGATATAGAATGATCAGGAACGGAGTAATCAGACGAAAGTCTACTAGCTTCAGGACCGAAGATACTTGGGATATGCCCCAGGATTGGGTAGTAAAAGAACCGATAATTGGAACAATCTCTTGGGTGAATATAATCAGAAAAGATCGAAAGCCAGTATCTGCCCGAGCAAGAACATGCTACGCAATGTAAAAGGGATCCTTACTGGGTATTGCAGACTCAAAGGACACCTTAGTAAACTAAGAGTAGTAGAAGATTGTGAGTGTAGATTCTGTGAAGAGGAGGAAGAAAGCTCCGTTCACATTCTGACTGAATGTATATCACTCCAGAATCCAAGGGCATTATATCTAGGAGCATATCAAATAGAAGAGGGAGATTTACCTAACTTGAAGCCACTTCAAATCCTACACTTCCTTGAGAAGACAGGATTGGAAGGGCCTTATATATAGGCATCGAGATATTTCCTTGCTGCATTATCGACAGAATAGGTCACACTAAATCTTTTAGGGCGCAGTATATTAACACTCCATTCCCAACACAACATACACATACTTTACTTTCGCGCCTACAAGTGACTAATTTCAGGGTCGACTTTTTACCTTTGGGGCATGTTCAAAAATTTTGAAATTTTTTTTTATGAATAATAGAGTTGAAAATAAAGCTACATTTAATTTTTTTTTTATCTATTCATTTGCCGAAGTTATGAATTTTTTAAAATTTATGACGTCACCGGGAATAGACCAATAGGAGCTAGCGCCACAACGTTGCCGGCTAGAAGGTTTACGAGAAGTGATGTACGTTCGTTTGTGTACTCCTTCTTACTTTTAGACTTCTAAAACATCGTTAAACAAATATCTTTTAAATATATAATATTAAATGTTTTTTGAAAGTATTATTTCTGTTTAAACTTTTACCATATTTAAAGTTTCATTGTTTTAAAAGTCACTTAATAATTCAGAAAATGGCAAAATGGCAGCACTGTGTATGTCATCTGTCATCATAGTGTCTCGATCCACATACTTTGATTACTATACGAGGCAAGAGAGAGGTCCGACACGCCCAACATAGGGCGCGGCCATTTTGAACCCTGTGACACAGTTTACAGCTAAATAATCAGATCGCTCACTCTGCGTCGGCACTTTTGATCTCAATGTTTCAGTTTATACACTGTGCAACTCGGATAATACAATATATGACAACCGCCTATAATAAAACAGCAGTCTTCTGCGTATCCTGAATTTGTATCCCTGGAGTGGATGTTATTTTGGAACTTTCAACTGGTCCGAGTGAGCTAACTGATTCTTTAGCAATAAACTGTGACTTCAAAAATAATATTCACTGACACTGACAGCAGCAAGCAAAATATCAGGTGCGTTTTAATCATCCGCTTCTGCTTCCGGAATTGTCGGTTTAGTCGTTTTAACCTGTCAGATTAAAACAAGAAAACCGACAATTCCGAAGCAGAAGCGGATGATTAAAACGCACCTATTAAAAATATTGCGCCAAGATGTAGGCTACACGTAATAAGGGTTCAAAATGGCGGAGTTTTCTATCTCCTTTTAAAAGGCACTCAGAAAGCTGCGCAGTGCGACCATTCTCCGTATAGTAAAAGAAAATCAAAGTATGTGGTCTCGATCACATACCTTTTTATGAAAATCTAAGTAAAAACAACCAATGTCAAAGGGTTATAATTTTTTTCTGTCAAACCAAATATATCACAAAATTAAAAATTGATCATAGGTCAAGCTAAAGTAATACCTTTATTGATAGTAGCTTTAAAAAAGGAGAAAGAATAATATTGACTTAAGTTATTATTATTAACATTGGTGGTTTTTAATAAAAACTCTTCAATTATTGTTTACAAACAAAAATATAAAAATATGTGAAAATTTTATTTATTAACCTTTTAATAAAAAATGAGAAAAATGAAGTAAAAAACAATTTATTTACAAATAAAAAATATATATACAAATCCTAAGAATATAAAAGTACTGAAAAAAATAAAAGGGTTAGATATGCAGTTACAAAATAACTATATAACCAGCTACAAAATGTCTTATTTTATGTAACAAGACGAGCAGAGCTTTACTAGCTCTGAACGAATCCAGTAAAGTATATCGGATTTTCAAAACTTAAAAAAAACAATCTCACCACATTTTCACATTTTTGAAATATTATAGAGCTTTTCGAAAAAAACTGATATTTTTAAAAGTACAATTTTTTGTTTAAACAGCTATGTCTCATTTTAGGCTATTGAGTATTATAAAATAAAAAATTACGGGATGTTTTGTTAGCTTTAAACGAATCCAGCAGAGCACCCAAGTTTTTTTTTTAAACCACACCACGTTTTTTGGCTCCTACAATATTATAAAATATTCGAAATTTGGCATTTTTAAAAAAATTCGCAATTGCTTGCTGACTTCAAAGTTTTTTTCTGAAAACAAATATACTTACCACATTTTTAGGATTTTAAAACAGCCTAAACATGTGTCATAAGTAGTTGTTTTTATATATAAAAAAACAAATTAAAAAACTGAAGTGTCCTGCAGACTTTGTTCCAACAAAGCACCCTGTATTATTTAAAAATAGCAATTTTTTTAGTAAAGTTTTACAATATTTCAAGGTCTAAAAATATTCTAAAAATGGGGTGTGGTTTTTAGAAAAAAGCTTTAAAAAACCGAATTGCTCTGATGGCTTCTTTCGAAGGTTAGCAAGCACTATGAATTTTTTAAAAATATCATTTTTTTGGAAAAAAAAAATGATAATATTTCAAGTGCATAAATATATGGTGTTGCTGTTTTTACAGAAAAAACTTTATAAAACAGAGGTGCTTTGCTGACTTCGTACGAAGCTATCAGAGCATTTTAAGTTTTGCACAAAACGAGGAGCATAAAATTTTTGAAAAGGGAATAAAAATAGCCTAAAAATATGGCATATGTTTTAACTCAAAATTTCATAGGTGCTCTGCAGCATTCTTTGGTATCATAATTATTACAAGGTTCACTAACAAAATCTATTTCTAGATTATTTTAATACTTGCTGTGATTACAAAAAATGTCTCTTTATATGTCAAAATTAGAAAAAAAATATTTATATGAATAAAGAGCCTTATACACTGTTTATTATATGTGATATAAAAACAAAAGAGCATAATAAATATTACAAACCTTGAGATGCAGCATATCCTAAGCATTGTGCACTAAAAATTTCATTTTTGTTAATTACAACAACCACATCATAAGGTTTTTGCCTTACTTTATGTTTAGGTGTAATTTGTCTCCTTCCCTCTTATGGAAAAAGTAATTATCTCCATATTCTTGCTTGGCAGATCTAAAAATAAAACCTGAGATAAATATGTTTTACTATAAGGTGTATTGCTCCATATAAACTGTAACTACCTACTATCAAAACAAATTATAAATAAAGTCTTACCTTTCTGTCTTTTGTAAACTGAGTATTATTAAAAAATGCAGTAATCATCTCGGTAATCATATTTTCGTTTACAATGGGTAAAACACTTGATTCAACTTTTATAAATCCAGCTGATAAATTCATATTAATAATAAAATTAAACCAAAACAAAAAACTAAGGTTAGGTCTTAGATAAAAGAGACCAGAGATATAACATACAACGGTTTTAAACCTGCGCAAATGTTGCCAATTTCTAAAGAAGGGTTAACGGAGTGGGGAAACTGGGCGGCGACACGCGGCGACCCGAACTCTGTGACAGGGACCGGACTTTGTTTATTAGCATCTTAATGAACTATTAGGTTTATTTAAAAGGTGTTTAATCGAATTTTGTAATATGAAATAAAATTAACGTGATTTTTTAATATCAAACAGATGCCACGACATTTTATGTAAAGAGAAGACCTTTTATAGAATATTTCGTTAGCGTTTATTTACTACGGACTTTTCTGCAAGAGATTACAGTAAAATGTTGAAATAGAATATATTGTTAATAGAGCAAAAAATGTTACTCATTGTCTACGAGTATTATAAAAATAGCATGTGCGCAGGCTAATACTGCAAATCTACCCTTATGAGTTAAACATTATATTTTTTCTACGGCTATTACATAATAATAAAAATTAGTCAAAATGAGAAAATGCTGTTTTGTATTATAACCTCAGAAAAAGGTATGTTAAGGCTCCTTTCTTTAGGAATATTAATTATTATAAAGGATGAGTCACAAAACTCTAGAAATACATATGTCTGAAACCAGATAACATTTTAAAATTTAAATCTATTAAAAGTCATTTGGTCGCTAGGGATGAGTGATTATCGAAATAAATGATCGATCATTGAAAATAATCGATCATTTTCGATCAATCGATTATTTTCAAACAATATATTTTTTGTCATTTCCTTTAAAATCGACTACTTGATTATCTTTGAAAAATCAAAAATAATCGATTAATTAAAGAGCCAATTAACCGATAAATCAGTGTTTACAAAATATAATATAAATAGAATTATCGTTTATTTTAAATAATCGATTATTTTCAAATAAACCATTTTTTTTTCGTCCATGGAAACAGATTATTCGATAATCTTAGAAAAATCGAAAATAATCGATTAATCAAAAATAATCGATTAATTAAAAAGTCGATTAACTGATAAATTGATTTAAAAAAAAAACAGAATTATCGATTATTTTAAATAATTGATTATTTTCGATCAATCGATTATCATCAATAATCTATTTTTATTGTATTTCCTTTAAAATCGTTAATTCTTTTATCTTTGAAATACCGAAAATAATCGATAATTCCAAAATAATCGCCTAATCGAAAATAATCAATTAATTAAGAAGCCAATTCTATGATAAATCGATTATTACTAATAATCTATTTTATTCTATTTAAAAAATAATCGATTAATTAAAAAGTCGATTAACTGACAAATCGATTTTCAAAAAAAAACAGAATGATCGATTATTTTAAATAATCGATTATTTTCGATCAATCGATTATTATCAATAATCTATTTTTATTGTATTTCCTTTAAAATCGATAATTCGATTATCTTTGAAATACCAAAAATAATCATTAATTCCAAAATAATCGCCTAATCGAAAATAACCAATTAATTAAGAAGCCGATTCTATGATAAATCTATTTTCCAAAAAATAAAACGAATTATCTATTATTTTCTAATAATCCTTTTTTCATATTTCCTTTGAAATTGATTATTCGATTATCGAAAATAATTGATTATTAAAAAGCTGATTATCCAATAAATCGATAATTTTAAAAAAATAACAAAAATATCGATTATGTAAAATAACCGATTATATTCAATCGATTATTTTCATATAATATCTTCGAAAAATCGAAAATAATCAAATAATTAAAAAACCGATTAAACGATAAATCGATTATTTTGAATAAATCTACTTTTTTTGTATTTCCTTTAAAATCGATTAATACATTATCTTAAAAAAAAACGAAAATAATTTATTAAAAACAGCGGATAAATCGATTTTCATTAAAAAATATCAGAATTATCGATAAATCGATTATTTTTGTAACCCCTATCGGTCGCTTGCTTTTATCTGAGCATTTAGCTCCAAAATTTAGAGATTCGGATTTTTTGATCCAGTTATCTTTGAAATCGCATTCGATTGTATAATAAATAAATATTGCTAAATTTTGGATTTTTTTTAGTAAACGAAAATTATGTTCGAGTTGTTTAGGGGTTTGTAATGTAACATTTTATTAACGTGACTAAGGGTCGATTCCACCGTTGTGTTAAACGAAGTTTAAAATGACATTTTTACATTAACACTGTCATTTTAATCTCCGTTTAACACAACGGTGGAATCGGACCTAACTCCTGTAACTTTAGTATTTTTTTGGGCTTATACTAGATTACTTTGTTTTAAGACTGAAAATTCAATGTCACTTTCGATTTGACCGCAAATAAGATGAACCTTGAAATTTTAAGTAGGTCATCCTGTATTTCATCTAATATTCTTATAAAAATACCCTATAAAAATACCTTATAAAAATACCTTATAAAAATACCTTAAAAAAATACCTTATAAAAATACCTTATAAAAATAAAATTTAGCTAGCAACTATGATTCTTTACCTCTTATTTATTTACCAAAAAGGGCTAAAAACTACCTTTAGAAAACATTCTTATAAAACTACTTTTTAAATACAAAATTTCGTTAGCAATAATGCCTATTTACTATTTATTTAAATTAAATGTTCAAAATTTTACCCTTTGTAAATAATATGAAAAGAAGAAAGTAATATGAAATCTGATTTCTGATGCTTAATATTTATTGAAACCCCTTAATGCGGATCTGAAGTATTCAGCCCAGAGAATCATGGCGCTTTATGTCAAAACGTTAATAAATATTTACCGCTGAAAACGAATATATTCATAACAGTAGTACTTGTATTATAAGTACATACAATTTTTCAAGATACATCGTGACATTTTGAACTTGAAATTGAATAACTGGAACACTTTAAATTGCTAAAATACCAACAAATAAATCAAAAAACAGCTGTCAATGGTGATTAAACTCCGGTGGAGGTTGGACCTTGGGTGGAGGTGATCGCTGAATGGAAATCGGAGCAATTCGGGTGACGTCGTGCAACAATGATTTTCAATTGGTGGGTTACTTTGGCTTAAAATAGACAACATGCGCAGTGTGCAATGTTATATCTTCGGTCTCTTTAATCTAAGGGTTAGGTGGTGTCAATTTTAATGTAACTTAGATGTGCGTTCACTTCCGACATTCTGTGTGTCGGTTTGTTCGTTGGCTTGGTTTTGTATAACAAAAAAAACTTCGACACAAGATGATTGGTCTATTCCCGATGACGTATAATTTCAAATTTCAATTGGGCTTAATTTAAAAACTTTTGGCTTTTTTAACGAACTGACTATTTATAATAACTTGTATAGTGACTATTACAATATAATTTATAAAACAGCATATCTCACATGTGAACATGGCCCATTTCGTTATTATTAACAGAGCGCAAGAGTGAATTTTCTACAAGTGTAAAAGTGTACATATGTAAATAAGTTGCTTTCTCCGTTTTCTAATAATTAAATAAATAGTATGCCATTAGTCAGTGTTTGATTTATGGACAACACATTTTCCTCTCAAGGTTGATTACAACTCCATCGATAGCAGGATAGTCCTGATGAAATTGCAGAATCGCTTCTGCCAATTAAACAAGGGATATAAAAACTATACTAGGTTTAATGTCGTTTCATACAAAAATGCTAGAGGTATCTGTGAGAAAAAGATCCGTCAGTTCGATATTATATAATATTTGAAAAGTTTGTCAATATTTTTATCATTTAACTTGTTTAAATATAAAAAGACAAAAAATATCATCTAAATCATTAAAATAAATCGAATTTTGATACAAAATTTAACAATAGCACACAAATAATATAAAGTATGCTTATGCAACTTCTAGCATTGATAACCTATGCTGAGTTAAGATAGCGACATCTACCATAGCTTCAGGAATTAATAACTCAGGTACACTGTATTTTAAAGATTCCTCATAGGCATATAGGATACTGGTATCATATAACATCATTTTACTCTGAGTTAAAGCTGCAATGCAATTTCTAATCCTTCCAATTGTTTCACGTTCCTGTCTTGGCACAACCTGAAAATAAAAAAGTTTTAACTTGACTCACATTGCTGAACTTTTACATTTAGACAAATATTAACTTTATTAATCTTAAGGGGTTAATAGATATAAAATCTAATTAAAACGTCTTGTGAATAAAACAGTAATTTTGTGTAATATTATTAGTTTAAATATAGCAAATTTGTTATGAATATACCTTACCTCTTCCAAATTTTGAATAAATCCACCAACACTTTCTTCAGAATTAATGATTGAAGTACAAATCCATATGAAACCGTTATTTCCTAATATAACACTTGCTCCTATAGGCAAATTATGAAAGTGTGTTTTACTTCTTTTTACCAAAGATGGAAATACTTTAACTAACACACCTTGGCCGAGCTAAAATATTATTGACATTATAAAGCAGGAGGATAGAAAATCAAATTAATATATAACAAATTGGCTTTAGTTTTAAAAGATCATGAGGTGATAACCTATTGTTTCAAATAGTAATAGAAAAACATAAAAATAAATGCTAATGAATGTCAATTTTATTGCACCAAGTGTTTGTTGATAAAAACAGCCTAAAAATATTAGTTTTTAATTTTTCTGTTTGTTTTAATTGAATTTATTAAACTCGGTTTCTTTAAAATGGACCTTTCTTGCTTTATCTTTTACATTATAAGACTTATCTGTATCAGCTAGAAAGCATTGTTTGAAATATCAATAAATATGGGTTTCATTGAATTTTTAAATGACACGTTGTATGCATGCCAAAGAAGGTAGCAAAGCACCTCGGGAATTTTGAGTTGAAACATATGCCACATTTTTAGGCTATTTTAATACCTTATTCAAAAATTTTATGATCCTCGTTTTTTGCAAAAATCAAGGTGCTCTGCTAGCTTCGAACGAAGTCAGCAGATCACCTCAGTTTTTTAAAGCTTTTCTCCAAAACCAACGACACCATAATTTTAGGCTATTTTTAGGCTCTTAAAATATTATAAAACTTTTCAAAAAAATTTTATTTTTAAAAAATACAGGGTGCTTTGCTAGCTTCGAAGGAATCTAGTAGAGTACCTCGGTTTTTTAAAGCTTTTTTCTAAAAACAACTACACCACATTTTTAGGCTATTTTCAGGCTCTTGAAATATTATATTTTAGGGTTACTACTGAAGTTATTAATGTTACTTTTAGTCAATTTAGTCACGTGAGATATGAATATTATTGAAGACTCTGCGTATGAGTAGGTATTATGATATGACTGATATTTAGATTTGATTTGAACATTTACTTTGCAATTTTAATATAATTAACAGGTATGGAATTTTTAACACGGGCATTACCTTGTAATTGGTATTTACACCAATTTTGAATCAATCAATCCCAGCTAAAACAACTTATTTGTATATTGTTCATCATTGATTTCGATTATTTTTTCCGCGTTGATAAATTAATCGTAGAAATTAAAATGTTTGTTAATTAAGGGTTTTTTTGCAATGAGCCTATCCTAATCTTAATAAGTATTTAATACAAATTTTCTTTTAATTTGACTTACAAAGTGACATTTTTGTAATCGCGCCGAGTGTCCAAATGATCTATCTACTTTGAGTTACATAAAGTTGAACATTATGTAACTGGTTATGTCATAAATATGTTCATGATTGCGAAAAGAAAATAAATAAAAGAAACCTATTTTTTTGGAATAATTTATATTATTTCAAGAGCCTAAAAATAGCCTAAAAATGTGGTGTAGTTGTTTTTAGAAAAAAGCTTTAAAAAACCGAGGTGCTCTGCTGGATTCGTTCGAAGGTAGCAAAGCTCCCTGTATTTTTTTAAAAATACATTTTTTTAAAGTTATATATGGCTTTAGGAGCCTATAAATAGTTTAAAAACGTAGCATAACTAGTTTTCTAAAAAAAAAAAAAGAAAAAAAAAAAATAATAAACCGAGGTGCTCTGCTGACTTTGCTCCAACAAAGCACCCTGTATTATTTAAAAATAGCAATTTTTTAGTAAAGTTTTATAATATTTCAAGAGCCTTAAAATAGCCTAAAAATGTGTTGTAGTTGTTTTTAGAAAAAAGCTTTAAAAAACCGAGGTGCTCTGCTGGATTCGTTCGAAGCTAGCAAAGCACCCTGTATTTTTTAAAAATAACATTTTTTTAAAAGTTTTATAATATTTTAAGAGCCTAAAAATATGGTGTCGTTGGTTTTGGAAAAAAGCTTTAAAAAACTGAGGTGCTCTGCTGACTTTGTTCGAAGCTAGCAGAGCACCTTGATTTTTGCAAAAAACGAGGAGCATAAAATTTTTGAATATGGTGTAAAAATAGTCTTATAATAGCCTAAAAATATGATGTCGTTGGTTTTGGAAAAAAGCTTTAAAAAACTCAGGTGCTCTGCTGACTTTGTTCGAAGCTAGCAGAGCACCTTGATTTTTGCAAAAAAACGAGGAGCATAAAATTTTTGAATAGGGTATAAAAATAGCCTTAAAATAGCCTAAAAATATGGTGTCGTTGGTTTTGGAAAAAAGCTTTAAAAAACTGAGGTGCTCTGCTGACTTCGTTCGAAGCTAGCAGAGCACCTTGATTTTTGCAAAAAAACGAGGAGCATAAAATTTTTGAATAGGGTATAAAAATAGCCTTTAAATAGCCTAAAAATATGGTGTCGTTGGTTTTGGAAAAAAGCTTTAAAAAACTGAGGTGCTCTGCTGATTTCGTTCGAAGCTAGCAGAGCACCTTGATTTTTGCAAAAAAACGAGGAGCATAAAATTTTTGAATAGGGTATAAAAATAGCCTTTAAATAGCCTAAAAATATGGTGTCGTTGGTTTTGGAAAAAAGATTTAAAAAACTGAGGTGCTCTGCGGACTTCGTTAAAAGCTAGCAGAGCACCTTAATTTTTGCAAAAAAACGAGGAGCATAAAATTTTTGAATAGGGTATAAAAATAGTCTTAAAATAGCCTAAAAATATGGTGTCGTTGGTTTTTGAAAAAAAGCTTTAAAAAACTGAGGTGCTCTGCTGACTTCGTTCGAAGCTAGCAGAGCCCATTGATTTTTGCAAAAAAACGAGAAGCATAAAATTTTTGAATAGGGTATAAAAATAGCCTTAAAATAGCCTAAAAATGTGGCATATATTTCAACTCAAAATTCCCGAGGTGCTTTGCCCATTCTTTGGCATGTTTTATGCCTTTTTATACAAAGAGAAAGAGGACAAACGTTCCAAGAAGTTATCGAAAACTGTTGACATGGTATATTTTTCCTCGGCGGAGATATAAATAAAACAAATACTGTCCTTATTTATTCATGTCTTACATGCCGTTATAAAATGTATTGGGATTAAGTTGGCAACAGGGCAATTATCGCGTTCTAGCATGTGACTTGAAAGTTGGAGATGTCAGTGAATACGGGAGATCAAGAGGATATAAACAGAGCCCTGACCGATTTGACTAGCCCAAATGATTCAATGTCACTTAGGGATAAAATCTAAATAATTATAAAAAAAATGACTTTAATAAGGTAATATTTTGACATAAAAAGATATTTGATATCACATGTTTTGTTTCCAACACAGGTATGAAAGCCAAATTGTGGCGGAGAGCAGTCTTAAGTAGTCCATTATAATGCTTTCAAAGGGCTTCAGAATTTTGCTAATTATAGATATGGGACATTAGTTGTTAATGACAGTTTTTTTACCTGATTTGTATATTGATGTGACCTAATATCTTGTATCGAGTTTAGATAACTTCTCATAAATAGTTGAAATTGGAATATGATATACGATTTAATGTATAATAGAAACGTGATTGTTAAATTTACTAACATATATTTCAATAATGATAATCGTGAGTCAGCTATGAATACTAATCTGCAAAACAGCATCATTAAGAACTTTTTTGAATGGACTGCTTAAAAATTATGGTTCTTTTTCTTTGTGTAAAAATAAATATACTGTCATTTAAAATTTTTAATCAAACTCATTCCTATTTATTTATAAACGGTTGATTTGTAACAGCGTCCTCTAGATGTCACTGTAAATCTGATGCAGAAAGGTCTTATTCTGTGGATGATTAAGCAAGAAAATCTTTCAACAAAAAGTTCAATAAATTCAGTTAAACAAAACTTGAATTATCAAATTTAAGTAAACAAAAAACTTTTATGTACCCCTACTACTTTATTTTAAGAAATAGAATAAAAGCTTAAAAAATAATTTTCTCATGGTTAATATTGCATTTTAAGTATACAGGGTGTACCAATAAAAACTCCCAGGCCTAATATTTTGGTAAGTAATAGAGATATTTTAATTATGTAAAAGCCAGTTCATAGAACGCTAAGAGAGCTTCAGTTTTAGATATAAATTAATTTTAAATAGGTCAATATTTTTTTTATGGGAGTATCTTTCTTACATAGCACATCTGGTAAAAATGCGTTTTTAAGCAGATTTTATTCTATAAACTAATTCGATAAATCTAGCCATTTTTGATAGTGGTCACTCAAAATAGTTTCATCCAGTTTTTCGATATTAATCATTGGATTTTTAGAAAATGCTAAAACAGGTCGATTTTTATTCCAAATTGAACACATTTTTACAATACAGACATCTGTTATGTGTCAACCCCCTCCCTTCCACTTCTCTAACCCCTTAATTTTAAATAAGGAATGTACCATATACGGCACATCATTGAAAAGGTAATTTTATGGGGAAGTCAGAAATATGACTGTTTATTGCGATACTGTTAATTTTAGCGCCCTCTATCGGGATAAAAAAACCTGTAACGTATTATAAAGTGTGACACTTCCATTGAAAGCTAATTTAATTACTAATTCAATGCACCACATATATTTATTATAAATATTGTTACACTGGTTTTTCGGTATCACAATTTATTTGAACTCAAGTTTTACAATAACTCAATTCAACTGGCACAATAACTTTAACTGATGACATTAACGTTTAACGTCTATCATAAAACTGAAACTCTGACGTCAGGTCGTCGCCTTCTAGACCCTTCTCGAACAATCTGGACTTTTCTTTGACAAGGAATGACATTTCGGGAATATTCTATCTTCTTCCTTTACTCGCACCTTTACTTATGACGACCGCAGCACGCTACAGGGTGCTGCGTAACAATATTTTCATATTGCATTTGCAACAAAATAAAGTTAACAATAATGTTTAAAATAATGCATGTCTAACTTTCAAACTATTGCAAGTGGTTATGTGGTGCATTGAATTGGTAATTAAATTTGCTTTCAAATAAGGTGTCACACTTTATAATACGTAGTTTTTTATCCCGATAGCGGGCGGTACAATTAAAAGTATCGCAATGAGCAGTCATATTTCTAAATTCCCCATAAAATTACCTTCTTAATGTTGTACTACACATTGTAGTATCACACTCTATAATACGTAGTAGTTTTTTATCTCGATAAAAATTAAGTAACGCAATGTACAGAAATATTTCTGAATCCCCCATTAAATTACTTTTTCAATGATGTGCCATGCATGGTAGAGTACCTATTTAAAATTAAGGTGTTGGAGAAGTGCAAGGGAGGAAGTTGACACATGACAGATGTCTGTATTGTAAAAATGTTTTTAATTTGGAATGAAAACCGACCTGTTTTAGCAGTTTCTTAAAATCCAATGATTAATGCTGAAAAACAGGATGAAACTGTTTTGAGTGATCCCCCTGTATATCAAAAATGGCTAGATTTACCGAATTAGTTCACAAAACAAAATCTGCTTAAAAATGCATTTTTTACAAGAAAGATCCTCCCATCGAAAAAAAATTATTGAGTGCAGAGCCATCTACATATTGACCTATTTAAAATCAATTTATGTCTAAAACAGAAGCTCTCTTAGTGCTCTGTGAACTGGCTTTTACAGAATTATAATATCTCTATTACTTACCAAAATATCCGGCCTGGGGCTCGATTCTCGAGTTCATTGGAAAATTTTCCCATGGGAAAAGATTCCACTACTTATATTCCCATGGTAATAGGTTATGCAATTCTCGAACTTGTCGGAATAGACATTCCCATGGAAATAATAGTTTCACGTATGTCTGATATTAAGTTCACGAATATTTCGAAATAACCAATGACATTAAAGATATTTTAAAATTTACTGTTGGCATTATTTGTATTTGTTGTGGTTTTTGGGTAACCGATTACCTGCCGAGCCTCTGCGCTGGAGCAGATGCCGTGCCGAGCAATCGCTCGCATGACCGAGGACAAGTGAAAATATTCGATTATGTATAATTAAAACTTATCGAGTTATTTTTAGTTTTTCTTTTCACATGTTGAAAAAAGAAAAAGTAGCTTTTGTATGGAAGAGCAACGAAAGTTTCGAGAAACTAAGAAATTCTTTCGTTAACGGAAATAATAAAATTTTCGAAAAGGTCTTATTAAATTTACTACAAATTTCTCAATTTGTGTTACCTATTTGCCAGTCCCTTAGCAGCTCCCACAATTTCTAACTAATTTAAGAAAATCAGTTTCTTAGTGAAAGAGGTAAAAATAATATACCCACATAAATAAAATAATATCAATCTATAAATACACCAAAAAAATGTTTTAACTACAATTTCACCAAAAATCCAAGAATCTTTGGTTATGTCTTAGTCTTTCGTCAAATTTTCGACTTTAATGCGCAAACTCTAGTACAATTCCCATTGGAAAACACAATTTCCAATGCTCGTAAGCAGGGGAATATTTTCCCATACTTCTCATTGGAAAATATTCCACCGCTTGTGCCGAGAATACGAAAACTGAATTCCCATGGGAAAATTTTATTTTCCCATGGGAATAAAAGTCGAGAATCGACCCCCTGGGAGTTTTTATTGGTACACCCTGTATATCTTTCTTAGTCAAATTATCCTAAACATTTCTTTCATAACAGGTGGTGGCTGTTACACACCCTTAGAAATGGGAACATAATTTCCAGCGATTTTTCAGGTCCATTTTTGCTGTATTTATTTTTCTAAAAGCTGTGCGGTTGGCAGTTTTTGGCCAGCTTGAACAATTGAAAATATAGGTTACAAATATGAAATAAGAACCCTGTACAATTCTCTTTCCTGGCTGATGTAGACGTAAGTACTATTCCTCCTAATACATATGACTTTTTAAAGTGATTTTCCTGGAATAAACCTACCTAACCTTGAAAATATTGAATATTTACTTAGGTATGGGAATCGTAAAAAGTTGCATTTATATGATCCAAAATGAAATAAAATACAGGTTGTATCATCAATAAAAAAAATTGACCTATTGTAAACTACCCATATCTATAGTTGTAATTTAAGATAATCAGCCAAGAAAATGCATTTATTTAAAATTAAAAAAGCAACATTTGGAGATTTTTCAAAAATGGATTAATAGAGTGGGTGAAAAAACTTTAATTCATAATAAACTAAAAATAATTTTAAATAAAATATTAAGGATGATTTAGCAAGTAGGGACCCTCAAACATTTAATGTTTGAATACAAGTTGACAATTGATATTATTGGAAATTCTTTTTGAGTTTTTTTTGCTGATCTAAGCTACATGCACACTTTTGATACCTATAATTTAAGATAAACTTATTGAATTACTGCTAAATATCAAGTATTTCTCTGTAAATGTACTGGAAGGATATATAAATCATAACATTTTTCTAATACCAAAGTCATAAAAATCAATTTTCATTTTTCAGAGTTCTAAGTGCCAAAAATTAAAAAGTTGCCCTTTTGCAGCTCTGATAAAAAATCCCTGCAGTATACAATATATAGGGTTGCCAGACGTCACTCTTTTGGCGTGGCAGCCACACTTTTTGACTTGCCTGCACGCTTTTTAAAAGCCACAGAGGAATCGGATTTACACAAAAATAGACTGGGTAAAAGACCCTCGTTTGTACGAAAAATAAGTGGAGGACTTTTTTTTTAGAAATGGTCACAAAATTTGGATCTGATTATATAAAAGTGCTCTATCGTCACAGTTGCCACACTTTTCATTTCTGGAAATGTGGCAAACCTAACAATATACAATACATAAAGTTAAGGTATTCCTTTTAATAACTAAAATTAAATAAAAGCTTTTACTTTGCCATATCGCAAGCTCCTTGTATGTAATGACAATGCTCCATCTGAAAAAACATTTTGCACTTCAGCACTAATAAGGTCCCCTTCTTGTAAAAATTGTCTCATCATGTGTTGATCTTCAACTGATCTTCTCCTCTAAAAATGTGTACAATAGAGTCAAATGTTTGGCTCAAAAACATAAAAAAATATTACCAGTTCTCCTCCTGGTAAATTCACTGATGATAATAGTAATGCAGAGTCCAAACGAGAATTCGTATCAACTTTCCATCTCTTCTGTTGTACTTCTGTGATTCTACCTACGATTACGTCCCCTATTTCACCATTGTACCTACTCTTTAGGGGCCTAACAGATATTAAATTGTTAACTTGTTCTCTTACCCCAGCTACAGATGCCTTCAGCTCACCCTTATCCTCGTAAGTACCATGCCCTCTAAAATTAATATAATGCAGTAATCTGTGTATTTTTATATTTATTTTTTAATGCAAACCTCATGAATTCATTTTGAGCTGTTATAGTTTCCCCTGGAGTAAATATTTTAGGATACCGTTGATTTAAAGATACCGATGTATTCACACGTTGGGAGGCTAAGCGTATTTGAATTTTGTGCGGCATTTTTCATTGAAATTATAGGAATTTACTAGTTTTTCCTTGTTTTGATATTCAAAATTTCAAAATTGTAGGGTTAGGATAATTCGTCTTTAATTTTAATTTCAGTCGGCCTCTTATCTGGTTGTTCTTTATGGCCAAGGTCTGGATATTGCAGGAATGAGGTAGATCGTGCTTTCTGAATGAGAACTCTACTATACATTTTTACGAGTCTCATGGAGAAAGAAATGTCAATTTTACCGACAAAAAAGTAATAATAATGTTCATTTTAGGATATAAAAAACTGATTAAACTTAAATAAAAATTAGTGACTGATATCTGTGCATAAAAGTAGCGAACAAAATAAATAGAAGAAGATATGACTGGGATATGACAATGTAACTTTTACAAATTGACAATTGACATATTGACAGAAGCGAATAATAATCAGTCACGTAGAATTTTTGAATTTGCTAAAATGTTTAAATAATTCAAGTACTTAATAAAAGATAATGAATACAAGTCAACAATGAGTAGGTTCACTCTAATTATTTTCCTTTTAATTTGGGAAGTCACCGTACAAAATGATATTAAAGGATTTGATGACACTATATTGTACAGTATAAATTGGGCAACAGAGTTACTGCAAGATGAAGCAACTTCTGGAGAATCTATAATTGTAACTTCAGCTCACCAAGAAAAATACAAGTGTATATTACCCACTACTGCCGAAGAAAAAGCCCAACTAGAAGAAAACTATGATGGACCAACAGCTTTAGAAATTTTATCACCCTTATTTTCTCACAATCATCCCTGTTCCTTTAGATTAGAATCTTATTGGACCTATCAGGTGTGCCATGGTAGAAAAATTCGCCAATACCATGAAGACAGAGAGGGCAAAACAATGAGGCTACAAGAATATGTAATAGGAAAGTGGGATACTAATTATTATGAAATGTTACTAGAAAAAGCAAAGGAAGATGAAAAAGACAAAAGTACACCACCTCCTGTTAAAAAAATAGATAATATTAACTTACCTTACTACGAAATAGTGATGGAAAATGGTACTCAATGTTCATTGAATAACAACAGACCTAGAATGACAAAGGTGCTTTACGTATGTTACATTCATGGCAAACATGAAATATACTCTGTGGATGAACCACAAAGTTGTGTTTATGAAATCATTATTTTATCGCCACTTCTCTGTGCTCATCCTAAATATAAACCTAAAGAGTCCGGGGAAAATAAAATCAGCTGTGCACCTATAGATGGCAGCTACAAAATGCCTTACAGTTTAGCAAAGCAACAACATGATTCAGCTCTACTAAGAAAACAATCTGATTTAGATAGATTTAAAGTGGAACTTATAAAATTGGACAAAGAAGAACCATTAGTTGATTTAGAACCTAAATTGTTAGATACTGCACCTGTGGAAAATTTTTTGAGAGGAAAGAATTGCTTAACTGGTGGTACAGGTTGGTGGAAATTTGAATTTTGTTATGGCAAGTCTGTGGAGCAGTACCATGTTGAAAAAGATGGTAGGAAAAATTCTATAAACCTAGGTATATTTGATAAGAAAGCTCACTTAGATTGGATACATGAAAATCCCCATAAACGTCCCAAACCTTTGGGTGAGAGAAAACAGCTGTCCCATTTGTATTCTTCTGGTTCCATTTGTGAAAAAACTGGGAAGCCCAGACAAACTGAAGTTAAACTGAAATGTTTACAAAATGCGGCCAGCCCTAATGCAGTTTCCCTGTATTTACTTGAACCAAAGTTGTGTCAATACATTTTGGGGGTAGAGTCACCTTTAATTTGTGAAATTTTGTCTAGAGCTAATTCTGATGGGCTTGTAGATATAGATGGCAGTGATTTTATAGAGACTGAAAAAACAGCTACAGTAAACATAGGGTTGTGAGAGTGAGTATTAACTTTAAAATGGGACAGAAACATTCCTAGTCAATATTTATGAACTTTTGCAATATAATCTATGTTTTAACATTATTATTTGTAAATAAAGTATAATACCTTCCAACATTATTGTCTATTAAATCACGATTTTTTATTTCTATTTTTTTATTACTGTACAAAAGAATAACCTAGTTTACAAATTATCTTTAGAGTGTTTACATATGACCATTGTGGAAAGCAGACAAAAACACATGACCTACAGTTAAGTAAATAGCTGATTCATAGTAAACAAAACATAGGGTAATCAAGAATAAGGTGACTGAGAAGGTGACCATTTTTTTCTAAACTGAAACCAGGACAATATGAATTTTAATTAAACCTAAGTAAATAAAAAACTTAGATACCAAAAAATGTTTATTTTTATTGTTTATTTAAAAATAAATATGGTAAATTGAAATATCATTTTACAATATAAAAAAAAACAAAAAACACAATGAACAACACATCCCATTTATTTTGATGTTTCATATATTTTTCTGAAGAATGAATTGCTTTTAACAAATATTCGTTTTCTTAAAAAATTCCATAGAATTCCATACAGTTTGCATTTAAATTATTTTTTACTATAAACAAGGATTTAAAAGTTTTTACATTCAATTGGATTTTCTCGCTAGTCCAGCTGTTGTTTAATAAAGAAAAAAACCTGCTCTGTAGGTACATTAGTTCCTGACATACAGAGACAATACTGTCACGACCCCCTCTTCTAAGGGTCCAAAGAATTATTTAATGTTATTAATTCAGGCTACCTTTCTTTATGAAATAAAAGGCGAGTTGAAATATAACAATTTTATTCATCAATAAATAATTAATATTCAAAATATAAAACAGATAATAATAATATACAATATAAAAGGGCCTTACCAAAACATCCCTGTGAGTGCCACGTCACGACGCTTACTCAAAAACTAAAAGGTATCTATTACTTTAGATACCTCCCAGTACAGCAAAAGGAGAATTGTCCTCGTAACAGTAATCAGTGTCAAATTTATACCTATTAACTATTTGCTGAATTTGCTATTTCTTTAATTCAACACAATTAATGCAGGTCGTCTTAATAGTTCAACATCTATGTTTTTGTTATGAAATGTATACAATATTATTTACTTAAGGATATATTTACATTTAAGAGATTATTGAAATTTACTATTAGAGATAATTATTTTTATTCTAGGATTTATTTAAAAGTATGTATCATAATTTATTTTAATGTATTTTAATAATATTTTTTTAATATTTTACTGGACGTGACAATACTCTATCAATTTGCCAATATTATTGTGGGAAACATCATTTTCATTAAAAGCTTTAAAACTTTTAATCCACCTGTCTGATACCGAAACACAATTTTGATTCCAATGCCCAAGTTTCTCATCTGAAGTGTAGCGCTGAACGAAACCGATTTCATCAAATAGCTCACCTTCAATTAAATTTATTTCCGGATAATATCGAAGTAGATAATCACTACATTCTTGAATAATTTGATATGTAGGTTTTATGTTTAGTGTAATCCAATTAAATCTCTCGATATCCTCAAAATGGTCTTCCCATTCGTCCTGATACTAAAAACACGTCCTGTAAAATGCCAGCACTTTTTCTTTGAAAATATTTGATTTAATTAAGCCTTCTTATTCGTCCAGCTTTTTTAAATTTTGTCAAACTTGCAGGGGAAGAAACACATTTGCTATCCTGTCAGCAATTTTAGTTTTAAGGTCCTTATAAATGATGCTTGTTTCCAACATAGAAATATCCTGTCCTTCTATCTCTAAAACCGTGTTGTGAAACATTGACGACACATTATGCAGAAAGGAAAGCCAAGATTCGGTTTCAGGATTCTCAAAATAATTTTTAATAATTTTCAAAATTTTTTCATTAGATGCAAAATACGCTTTTAATGCAGGAAATATTTTTAAAACGCGCTCTATAGCTGGTCGTAACGCTAACCATCGCATAGCACTGTAATCCAAAAGTTTTTTATATTCTATGTCTACAAAATTACAAAATTCTTTTAATTCACTGACGCGCACAGTATAAATGTACAAATAGGAGTAAATTTTGGTTTAGAGTTTTAAAACCAGTTTTCGTGTACTGGTTTTGTTTAATGACTAACCAGGACTTGTTCCCTGAAAACAGTACTGTACTGGTAAAATTAGTATGAATGGTCACATTAATCAAGAAACATAATATATTATACTTACAGATACATTTACCTGTCCAAGTGGTCGTAGATAAAGTATTGTATGTTATGCATGTTGTAAAGCAATTGATATTATTTTTACAATAGGTACTTATTGAGCTGAATTTTATTACCATAGAGTATAGACCCTTATATATATATATATATATATATATATATATATATATATATATATATATATATATATATATATATATATATATATATATATATATATAAAATTCAAACTAATTTATTGGGGGCAGCAGCAATATATAATAAAGAAACCTCTTTAAAGATGATCCAAGCTTTCGGAAATTTTAATAACTTATTTCCATCTTCAGGGAATCTACAAAAGGTGTGGTGTGTCTTCATAGGAACATAATATTATTAAGAGAGTGAGTTACTTACATCTTTGTGAGGATGAATTATTAATGATGTTAAATGTTATGATTTTGATGAACATATAGAATTAAAATTACACAGTTTTACAATATAACTTAAAATTATTGTGGTTAAAATTCAGTTTGAAATTTAACTGTTATGTCAATTTTTGTGTCATTCGTTGTTTATGTATACAAGTGTGTTAGATTAAATATAGAAATTACTAATAAGGAACCTAGTTAGGAAGATTACTTTGTACCTAAATTATTATTTAATAAAGTTTTATCTGAGAATGCAGGTTGATTAATTATTTCATCATCAACAAAACTGTCACTAATTGTTGTGATGAATGAAAGGATGTTGTAAATTATTTCATCAAAAACAATACTGTCACCATTGTTATGATGAAAGGTTGAATATTAAAAGTTTTTTAATCAGACTTGTATCATAAAAGGTGGTCATTTAAAAAATTAGATTTCATCTGCAGTAATACTGTCACTATTATTGTGATGAAGGGTTGTATTGGTGTTGAGTAAGTATGAGTAAATAGCACTTAGATGTTTTATGTCCGTCCTTTTATTAATACAATTTTGATTTTGGTATATCCAAGCCATTTCTAAGAAGAGTCTTTTAGTATAATTGGATTCTGTGTCAAGAATCTTAGATGCATCATAGTCCATTCTGTGGTCTAAACTGTTAACATGTTCAGCTAAAGAGCACCTTTCAGGGTGTAACCGTGCGTCACTTCTGTGAGAGATTATTCTGTTACCTAGTGATCTAGATGTTTCACCAATGTATACTTTATCACAATCTTTGCAAGGAATTTGATAAACAACATTACATAAGCTTTTTAATGGTGTTTTGTCCTTTACTTTGGTGTAAATAGAGTTTATAGTTAGTACTGTTTTATTAGCTATTTTTACATTTAATAGTGATTTTAATATTCTAGTTATTTTTGGTGTAATATCTCTTATGTAAGGTAAACTTATGTGTTTTGCTATAGTAGTGATTTCATTATTATTAACGTTGTTGAAATTGTTAGAAATATTATTATTAATATTATTATTATTATTATTATTATTATTATTATTAATATTATTTAGTTGATCACTTAATTGAGCATCATGTGTCAGGGTAGACGATAGATTGAAAAGTGTATTATTTATTAAACGTAGTGGATAGGCATTATCTAAGAAGAGGTTTTTAAGGATGTTGAGGTTTTTATTGTGAAAGCTTTTGTCAGAAATTTTGATTACTCTGTTTTTCATTTGTTTTATCAAGTTGATTTTCATTTGGTAATTGTGATATGAATTGAAATGTAGGTAACGTCCTGACTGACAAGGTTTTCTGTACCAGTCTATTAGGATATTGTTGTCATTTGTTCTGATGAACCGAGTGTCAAGGAAAGGTACTGACTGGTTTTGATCTTCATTCTCTATAGTGAACTGTATGTAAGGATCATAACTATTAAATGTGAAAAGGATTTCATCAATGCCGTTATATGATATTATATTGGCACTGTCAAGGAAAGGTACTGACTGGTTTTGATCTTCATTCTCTATAGTGAACTGTATGTAAGGATCATAACTATTAAATGTGAAAAGGATTTCATCAATGCCGTTATATGATATTATATTGGCACTGCCATATAACGGCATTGATGAAATCCTTTTCACATTTAATAGTTATGATCCTTACATACAGTTCACTATAGAGAATGAAGATCAAAACCAGTCAGTACCTTTCCTTGACACTCGGTTCATCAGAACAAATGACAACAATATCCTAATAGACTGGTACAGAAAACCTTGTCAGTCAGGACGTTACCTACATTTCAATTCATATCACAATTACCAAATGAAAATCAACTTGATAAAACAAATGAAAAACAGAGTAATCAAAATTTCTGACAAAAGCTTTCACAATAAAAACCTCAACATCCTTAAAAACCTCTTCTTAGATAATGCCTATCCACTACGTTTAATAAATAATACACTTTTCAATCTATCGTCTACCCTGACACATGATGCTCAATTAAGTGATCAACTAAATAATATTAATAATAATAATAATAATAATAATAATATTTCTAACAATTTCAACAACGTTAATAATAATGAAATCACTACTATAGCAAAACACATAAGTTTACCTTACATAAGAGATATTACACCAAAAATAACTAGAATATTAAAATCACTATTAAATGTAAAAATAGCTAATAAAACAGTACTAACTATAAACTCTATTTACACCAAAGTAAAGGACAAAACACCATTAAAAAGCTTATGTAATGTTGTTTATCAAATTCCTTGCAAAGATTGTGATAAAGTATACATTGGTGAAACATCTAGATCACTAGGTAACAGAATAATCTCTCACAGAAGTGACGCACGGTTACACCCTGAAAGGTGCTCTTTAGCTGAACATGTTAACAGTTTAGACCACAGAATGGACTATGATGCATCTAAGATTCTTGACACAGAATCCAATTATACTAAAAGACTCTTCTTAGAAATGGCTTGGAT